ATACAATTCCTTGCTGTCTTTGCATCCATTTATGGTGCATACGTTTTTATTTAGGAATAAAACCCACTAAGTGTTGTTTTGCTTCTTTTTTGAAAACAAGTTCCGTTTGCAGGCTGTGTAGAAAACTTGTCAGTCACTCACTGTAGGTACACAGCACCCCACCCACACTGCTCCTTCCAAGTCCTTGCTCTTCAATGGAACCAATTGTTTAACCATGTTTATAATCGATGCAATTTCTGGAGCGTTTCCTAAAAGTTGACTGATTTAACGTTTACCCACTTGGGGGTTTGGCTTTCTGCTTTGATGTATTATAGAACAAAGTGTGAGAGCCTATCTGGATAAATGTGTGTTGCAGCACCTCTGTGCTAGTGCACAGGCAGTGCCATTGCCCACCTCCTGGGGTTTGGATCCCACATGTCAGCATGGCTTGACACTCAGGGGGTTTGGATCAAAGCCTTCCTAGGGATGGAGCAGTGTCCACATTGCACATGAATCCAGATGAAATTCAAGCTGCCCTTGGACTGTCCTACTCTTATCAGTAAAGCAAATCTGTCGCTGTGGCTGAGCCAATTCACATAGTCATCTATGCACTCATGAATTGTGTGTTTGAATTGAACATTTAATAAAAAACATTTTAATTAAAAAAACACATTTAATTTGCTTTTTGATGCTTTAGTGGAGTTTTTTTTTCCAGTTTTCTTTTGGTTGAATAGCCGTATGAATTTCAGCTCTTGTCTTCTGATAACACTTGGCAGACCCGTAAGACCTAGTCAGTATCTAGAGCTCTGGCAACACTAACTACAGTGTAGAAATCTCATCCCACAAGAGATTATTTTATTGGCTTTATTGATAACCTTATTCTGTAGGAAGGTGTTTATATGACAGCTCATCTATCACATGTCTGAGGTCATCAGTCTGCCCTGGAAATGCCTGTTTTTCTCCTGTGACAGTAGAAGAGGAACAAATTGTGTAGGTAGGAGCCCTTGCTACCTACCTACCTGGTTGTGTTTGCACAGAAAAGCTGAGGTTGATGGGACCTCTGGAACCTGCCTGGTTACGCCTCCTACTCAGAGCAAGGTCCCCTGGAGCAGCTTGTCCAGGGCCATGTCCAGTCAGATTTTGAGTAACTCCAAGGGAAGAGTCTCCACAGCCTCTCTGGACAACCTGTGCCAGGGTTTGATGACCCTAACAGAGAAAAGGGGTTCTCTTCTCTTTAAGCAAGATTTCCTTTATGTCATTTTGTGCTCATGGCTCTGTCTTCACTACCCTCCCCCATCAGGCATTTAAACACTTGGATAAGATCCCCTGAACTTTTTCTTCTTCAGGCTGGGTAGTCTCAGCTCTCACTTTCTCCTCACATGATTTGTGCTGCCCCAATCCTTTCATCTTCACTGCACTCACTCCAGTAAGTCCATGTCCCTCAGTACTGGGGAGCCCAGAACTAGACCTGGCATTCCAGATGTGACCTCACTGGTCCTGAGAAACATAGAAACAGTGTAAACTACTGAATGTCACAGACCTCACTTTTGGGCTCCCTGTTAATGGGTGTGATAGAAATAAGAAGTTACTGATACTGCAATTGGAAACCAAGCTGGCCCTGGGGCATTTATACAAAAGCAGTAGGGATTGCAGATTTTATTTACCCTCCTGCATTTTCTTTCATAAGCTACAGTGCTTCCCAAACAGTGTTTTCTAAACATAGCAACTTGAGACATGTTCTCCGTTGCCAGGTTGGCAAGTGGCTTCTGTGTTGTGTTCTCTCCTGCGGGCTCAGGGTCAGCTTTCTAACAGGGCTGAGGCAAAACAACTGTATTCTGTGATTAGCAGCTGGTCTCACCTCTTGGCAGCATGGCACCTGTGGGTTTTTGCTTCCTTCTTGGAGTGAGGCTGCAGACACTGGGGTGAGGTCCCAGTCTCTAGCATGGTGGGACAGATGGGAGTCAGAGGGGGGTGATGCAGCCGCAGACCTGTCTGCACAGCGCAGGACATAGTGGAGAGGCTGCCGGGTGCGAGTCGTGGCTAAGATGGTTGTCATTTGTTTTTAGTTCCTGGTTGTTACCTTTGGACTCCCTCTGGGTAATTTTATACTGGAGATAAAAAAATAAAGCATTTAGTTTGTACTCCATAGCCTGATATCCTCTTTATCTTCTATCCCCAAGGAGTTTATTTTTATACTCTCCATTAGTTTAGTGACCCCTAACTGATTTATAGTTATGCTCCCAGGGGTGGTTTTGCTTACCCTTGTTTGCTGAGTCTCACAGATCTGTGTTGCTTCCCTGCCTATGGCAACTTCTGAGCTGGAGAAATGTAACTTTAATTAAGCTTTTTATTTTATTTGCAAAAAGAGAAACTGGCAGATCAGGTACTGAAGTGGGGTTCAGTGCTTACACAGGAGGGGGACCAAACAGTAAAGCCTATAGGAATCACAAGGTTCAGTGGTTCAGGGGTGGAGGAGGTCCTTCCTTTTTGAAATGAATTCTACCAATGGTCTCATTCCACAGACAGAGGTGGGAAGTATGTTCCCCCTGTGTCAGGCAGGAGCACAGGTGTTGAGGGAGTGTTCCTTGCAGAGGATGACAGGCTGCACCAGCTGCCTTCAGTCTGAGTAACCCCCAGGCTGAGTGGACAGGCACAAGGAGCAGAGGCATGGTTTTGGGTTTCCTGTTCTAAATGTGAATCTTTGCCTTCTCTTTGCTTGGGGTCCTTTTCCCATGTCACCAATCTCTCTTGATCTGATTTCACCCAGGACTGCTAAGCCTGGAGTCCCACAAAAGTATTCAAGGCTCAAAACAAGCTTTTTGCTTGCAACTCCCAAATTCTTACCCACCTTTGCCTAGCTGGCCCTTTTATTGAGCAAAACCAAAAAGCAACCTGGCTCCTGTGCTGTTCTGGCTCTTGTTCAGAGGGAGATTTCAGAAAGGTATTACCCATTTTATGGTTAGCCATTTCACTCTGAACCATTTGGTCCTTTGCCTGGACCTTCAGGCAAAGAAGGTCCTGAACTTCTGGACCTGGGTGAATTGGGGTGGGGGCAATCAGTTGTGTGGATTAGTGCAGGCCTGTTGAAGTCAGCTGTGGATGACGTAGTACTGGGGTAACTCTTTCTGTGGGCTCACCCAATAACTTTTCTTCTTTTGTTTATATAAATATATGCATATTTCATTCTTCATCTTTCCTCTGCTGTGTCACAGAGCCACAAGCAGCCAAGTGGTGCCATCAGTGGCACAAGATCTTACACAACACCTCCTATTTTAATAACATGAGGTTCACTAGAGATTGCAGGCATCACAATATATTATTTCAGACGTGATCATTTCCACATTTCCTTTTTCTGGGAGAAGAGCTGAGGTTTCTTTCCATTATTCTGCATGCCTTTGGTTCAGACCGCACTTTGTGGACAGCAGATGTTCCTCTCTGGCTTAAGTGCAAAAACAATTTAATGGAAGATCAAAAAAGTGATGCTTGTCCTGGCCCCCAGCAGATGGACCACATGTGCTCTGGGCAGTTTCCATCAGGTCCCTCTGGAGCTGAGGCAGCCAGCGTCCCCCACTCAACCCCTCCATTCTTGCATTCACTGTGAGCACAAAACACAGAGTTGGCCACAAACGAACAAAAAAAGAGTACTGTGGTAAGCAAGGATGAGGAATCTTCTAGAAGTTCTTTTTCTTTGGCTTTTCAAAGACAATTTGTAGTTCATAATGTACAGTAAGAAGAAGAATGTAAGAATAATATTAACCTTATAAAAGTAACACTGAAACTGCAAAGTCAGTTTCATCATCCTGGATCCAACAACTACAGCAAGGGCAAAACCACCCTTCCCTGTTGTCCTCCCAGCTTCAGAAGAGCAAGACATCCGTGAGGAATGATGCTGGCAGGAGTTTAGCTATGAGAAAATAGAGAGCAAGAGAGAGATGAGCAAGAAATCTGCTGAGACCAACTTGTTATTTTTTAGATTTTGAGAGATTGACTCTTTAATGTCTGCTCTGGGAATATCCTTTGGCATCCATCTCCACGGCCATTTTTCAGATACACACTCTAGGCAAAGATGGTCCAGCTCCAGCACCCACATCTTCCCCAAAGCTCAGCATTGCCAGGGTCCATAGCTTTCACATTGTCCCTCTTCTGTTCCTGGGCTCCCTCTGTTTATTTCTCTGACCACACATTGTGTGCTAAGACCTTGTGGTTTATGTCCAGTCTGGATTAAAGCCAGCAACTCTTCCAGCATTGTCGCTTTGCATTCATGTGTATCTCAAAACATGGAGGGAACATCTGCCAAAGGAACTAGAGGATTTATATTGAGACAAGCTGGCTTGTAGCATGTAACCATGACCTACAGCAAAGAGTCTTGGAAATCTTCAGGATCAGGGCCCAAAGTAAAGCTCGGCACAGGGCTGCCCTCTGTGCAAAAGTGACCTAACTTCACATGCAGTTCTGCAGCATTTGAAACTTCACCGACTGGTGTGGAGCACTGTCTTCTTCATTGACCGTCTTCTCTCCTGTGTGGGATGCAGGAGAGGAGGAGGTGGAGGAGGAGAAGGAGGGAGAAGTCGTCACCACATCAGTGTGTGAAGGAGAGGAATTCTTGGTGCTGCTGCAGCTCTGCTCTTTGCAGAGGAGGTGGAAGGCAGCCTGGGAAGGACTGTCTCAGTGTTGGGACCTGAGGTGCTGCCTGCCCCGGCACCACTAAAGGGAGGGACCTCTCTTCTGTGTTGGCTGGTATTTTAGAATGAAATTTCCCAGCAGCAAGAGGAGGGGAGGAAGGAAATCTTATTTTCCTATAAAAGGACCCCCTGCCTGTATCCTGTGTATGGTGTGTGACTGGGATGATAATGGGGCAGGAGGGGGATAATCCTGTAAAGCATATTACAAGGTAAGAGGCTCTCGCCTTCTGCTTTTTTCCCCTGCCTTTGATATCTCCAACCTTCAGACAGATCCCTGGAGCTGCTCTGAAGGGAAAGACAAGGAGAAGAAAGCACTCCAATCACACTGACACAACTCCATTCCTTCAGCAAGCTATGTAGATATTTTTATTTTATAGTCATTTGAACAGCAGAGAGTTTGGCAATAGTGACAGCCTCAGAAGCGTGCACTCTTCATTTGCGTATGTGTGTTTCCAGCTTGGCTCAAACTTGATGTCTTGGAAGACCTACCATCATGCTGCTTTTAAACAAAGCAGCAAATTGGAATACCTATCCTGTGGGTTCCCCAACAGCATCATGTCTTGACACCCCCAACCTGGAAGCACAAGGGATGTGAGCCAAACTGGAGGGGTTATTACCAAGCACTAGACTGCAAAGAATCTCTGATACATTTCAGCCAACAGCCAGCAGAGCTTCATTAAGCTGCCAGGGTGATCTGCACTACTTTCCCATCATTGCTGTTAATTTAAATTTATTTCTATTCTTTTACTCATGTCTCAGTAAAAAATTACTGAGGCCAGACCTTCAACTGGGCATGACTATATTGGCACAGTGCTCAGCAGATTTATGCTTGCCGAGGACTGTGTCTGGACTAGCAACTGGACTATTTCATCTGGGTTCTCATCACATAAACAGGTCAGGTTATTCCTAAAGCTGCTGAAGTGAGTTGTCCTGGAGTTTGTTTTCAATACACCATTGCTTTTATATAGCAGTGTATTCCCTAATAGCATTATGTTTATGTTATTTACGTAATACGTTCATCTTCTATTTTTAATAATATATTTGACTAACTATGTTGCAAGTCATTGCTGCTTCCACCATGATGCTGCAGCATAAATAAAGCTGCTGATGGGATTTTTTCATTGGCAGTGGGTGTTGCTCTCCCACTGAAGTCAGTGAAACTGGCTTCTGGCAGATGAGGAAAGGACCAAACATGTCTGTAACTTGCTAATTTGTTCAGGCACATAACTCAGCTAGTTGGACAACTCATTGAACAGCTGGTACTCTGCCAAATAAGCCCAATTGTATCTGTCAATGCAAAGCAGGAATAACTCCCTCCACTCATTGAGACAAGACCTTGATCCTCATCAGGCTGAATCATGGCACTACGAGGAACAAGGAGCTCCCATGGATCACTGCCAAGGTTTTTGGGGAAGGAAAACAAGAGAAGAAAGAAGAAATTAGCTCTGCTGGTGTCCCAACAAAGCTCAGCAAGATGGGAAAGGACATTGCACAGTGACAGCCCTGGGCAGCTGAGGCAGCTGTATGCTAGGCTGGACTGCTGCACTGGTTCTTTGCCAAAACAACTGAGCCATCCTAATAAATTCCCTGTGTAAAAAAATATATCTATGAATCATGCCTTAGAAAGAACAGTGCAGCTGCTAAGAGGGCTGGTTATGGCCAAATGAAATGCTCTAATGCTCTACAATCTGACACTGAGCCATGACGACTCTCTTTGCAAAGAGTGACTCTACTTGGACACGTGCGCACGGGTGTGCGTACGTACATGTGCACGTGCACGTACACACACCTATAGCTTCATAATCCTGCTGCTGAGGGGGAAGACATGGGCTGTGGGCGGGCACGGGGGAGGCCCTGCCGCTACACGATCATGAACTGGCAGATGTAGGGCAGCTGTTCTCTGCACCTCTTGTCGAACCACTTGCCGATGGCGGTCCCCGACAAAGCTGCACAGTTTTCCAGCTTGCCGCCGTCGGGCTGGGTGGTGATTTCAGTCTCCCAGTTCTTGTAGCGGATGGGGCTGCCTGTCATGTCGACCCACTTGCCCTCTGCTGCCATGTCGTTGAGGCCCAGCCAGATCTCTGCCTCCGAGCCGATGCTCTTGCGCATGTAGTCATAGAGAGCATCGTTCTCCTCCCCGTTCTGGGGGGTGCTGAGCGTGCCGCCCTGTGAGATGCAGTTTTCGCTGGCCTCGTGGTACGTCTTGGTGTCCGAAAACGCCAGAAAGCATTTTAGGTGAATTTTGGTGCCTTTCAGGCAAACTGAGAAGTTACCACAGGAACAGAACAAAAAGACAGAAAGGGAATTGGGTTTAAAAATGGTGCCCAGGAAGAGGCAGCAGCAGCAAATCCAGCAGTCAAACTAAAAGCTTCTTCTCTTAGGCTGCACAGCAGCTCTTGGCAGCACGGGATTCCAAGGGGCCCCTGCCCTCCTATGAAGGACACTGTCATGGGGACGTGCCCTCCCTGTCAGCCAACCATCAGGAAAAATGGAATTTCAGGGTGTCCCCGCCATCTTCCCAGGCTTTGCTGCTGCTGGGGCAGAGGCACAGCATGGTCCTCCTGCCCCTGCCCCTGGCTTTGCTCTTCCCCAGCCAATGCTACTCTTTCTCAGATGAGTTTGGTAGAAATGAGTTTTGTCGTGGGCACTGCCAAGTGTTGGAGTGTTTTGGGAAAAGCCTGCATGCCAATTAAATTGTCTTAATTATGCAAGGTGAAAAAAAAGTGTTTTTTAATAAGCTTTGATCAGAAGCGTTATGCTTGCATAGCTTGAGGTCTTCAGAGGAAGTTTCTGCTTGCCTCTGATTTAAGTGTTAAGAATATCAAATTATCTTGTTTTTCTTTAAGCTCTAAACCTTGAGGAGTACAGGGTACTGTAGCTAAACAATACCTAATCAGAGCCACACATTAATATCCAAACCAATTATTTCTCAATGAATGTGAGCTTGGAACTAAAGCCTTGATTTTGCTTGTGTTCCTTTTTTTTTAAGGAGAAAATTCTCCTTAAATTGCATTTTCATCTAATTTCTGTTCTCTATTCTGCAAATCCTGTTCCTATTGATGTTGGTGGAGTTTGCACAGAATAACTGTGGAGCATTGCTGGAAGATGGACATTTTGGGACTGTCATCTGTGTATGTTTAATGAAGCATGGTGGAACTGACCACCAGTGAGGTTCCCTGGGCAGTATTGTGGTATGTGTAAGAGACCAGGTCACCATTTCACTGGGGTTCAGACAAAAAGAGTAAGCTACATTTGGTTAAAGCACAGACTAATCCATAACCCATCCCTCCACCTCATAAAGGAAAATGAATATCTGGCTAAGTGTCATAGAAATATCAGTAGCTGTACAAATGGGAAGATCTAGCACATAAAGAGTGGGGCCCCACACTGCACAACTCCTGTCATTAACTGCCTGAGGAGTTTCACCTGCCTGCAGGAATTGCAGTGAGCCCACGCTCTGCTTTGATCCCCCAACCTTTCTCCCCATGTTGTTGCTGTGAGGTGCTTGGGCATCTCCTGTCAAAATGTGTGGAGAAATTGGATCTGCTTTATAAGAGCTCCTCTCCCAAAGCAAAAGCCTTGAATTGTTCAGCAAGTCCTGTACCTGTCTGGAGCGCTTGCTTCTCCTTCAGTAGAGCAACCTCCTGAGAGATGTTGTCAATCATGGCCTTCAGGTCTTCAATCATTTTGAGGCTCACACCCTCTGTTGGAGAAGTCAAGGAAAGAGCATAAACATTGGTTACATCCCAGGAGAGGCAACCAAATCTGTTCCTATCATCAAAACTCCAGATTTCCTTGCCCTCAGAGAATGATAAACAAAAGGAATCCACAAAGTCAACACCTGTGTCCCCTTGCACATACATCAGAGTGAGCATTTGCTCACCAGCCTGGTTCCACTGTCAACCCAGTTTTCCCAGTTCAGGCTGCCTCTGCATCACCTCTACCTTCAGCGTCCCCGGAGTAGGTACCCCAAAACTGGTCAGAGCTGCTCTCCTGCTGTGAGAAGACACCTTTTGGCCAGGGAGTTGGTTGCAGCTGGCTACTAAAGCCTACATCTTGCTAGGTATGTTGCCTCTGCAATGGCTTCAACAAGCTATTAACTGGTATTTGAATTTCTCTTAGACAGGAGCAAAAGGACCATCACTCTTTGAAGGTGTTGGGAGATTGGATATTGAGGCATTTGTATTCACTATGCCACCTTTGCTGCTCCTGTTGCTTTACCTTGTCTGTCATAAACATCTAGTAGTCCTCATAGGGTGAAAAGAAAGGGAACAGTTTGCCCACAAATGCGGCAGGACAGGCTTCCTGGAGGGTCAAGGAGATGGGGAGCTGAGGCACCAAGCCAGGCAAGTAGGGAAGCAGCTTGGATGCGGAACAGAATCTCCAGCCCAAAGATTATATGGTGCCATGAATATGAAAAGCCAGACACATCAGGAGGAGGGCATTAAAGCTGCTTTACTCATTGCTCAATTAACTTTAATGGATTCACTTAACACTGAGGGCCTAGTTATTATTTTGCTGCCTTTGATGAAAACACTTTGTGGGAAACGGCTAATTAATCCTGTTCTATTTTTCCATGCAAGCCTCTCTTGCAGCAGAACAAATGTTCTAAAGTTTAAGTAACATCCAAGGGCCATGGCAGAACATTGTCAATGAGTCTTGCTGGGACAGCTCTTTATGGTGTTCCAACTGAGTTTGCTGGTAGGTTTCCACCTGGAGGCTCCCTGCCATGAGAGGTCACGCATCTCCTTGATAACTATCTAAGATCCCCGTCCCTTGTGACAGCCTTGTTTCCAAATCCTGGGCCACAAGACATTCCTACAGCAGTGCATTCACTGGGACATTGCGTGGAGGATCAGGACTGGTTAACTTGCTCTTCAGCTATGGAGTACCACAGCTACGTCAACAGACATTGAGTTTGCTATATTATTACTGCAGGGTTTTGTCTCTGCTGTCATTTCCTCGAGGCTCGCCTCCTCAAGCCCAGGATCAAGCCTGTTTCCAGTTTGGGTTTGCTGTAACTGAAGCCAGCATGCGGGATGCCAATGCTGTCCATAGGAGCTGGAGTGGGTCCTTGTGCAGCCAACCATGAGCAGCAGGATTAAGAGTGGGCAGAGGAGAGACGAAAAGGAGACTCACAGAAAGATGCGGGTTGCAGTAGTCCATTGGTTTGAAAGCCTGGCCAGAAACGTATTTAATGCTGCAAATGGGAACTCTTACCTGCTTTTCCTTGATCTAATTATATGATGAATAACAAACAAATCCGTCTGTATTTAATTTTAATTATTTAACTAATACTATATGAAATTTGGATCTATATGTGAGTTGCTTAGCTTTGCCTGGACATCCGAACAGGCTTCTGTCCCGCAGAAGAATGAGCACTGCTCTGATTTACAATCTCTGTCATCAAATTTCCCTGACCATCTGTATTTCTTCTGACACCAGGCATTTCCATGAATGTCCCAACTGGATCAGTCAGATCCCATATTGCAGTCTGTCCCTGGATCAGAGGAGGAGACCAAACACACACGCATGGATTTATCTCAGTGTAAATGTTCACAGGCATTTTCAGGAAAGAGCACCCAGAGTACAAGAGTACACTGAAATTTTGGGCAGCATCAGGAGTGGAGCCCAAATTAGTCCCTATTCACTGATTTAAGCATCTGAACTCCAATTTCTGTCTCCAGTTACCTTAGAAATAAATGTGAGAGCTATGCAAAGCTGCTTCCTCTTGTGCCCCCAGCAACCCACCATGGCTGTGACCAAGGGAAGACTCCACCAGGGCTGGTGGGTGCCCAGCCTGTTATCCCTAAGCCAGGGGGTGACACTGCCCCTCAGGCAGGAGTGCCATTGTCTGCCTCCCTTGGGCATCCTTTTGGGTGAGACCCCCAGAGCTACCAGACAAGGGCAAATCCTGTCTGCCCCCCAGGGCATCAGGGAACAGGGAGAGTTTGCTGAACGGCTGCATTTGGAAACATAACTGGGGAGCAATTTGAGGGGGAAAAACCCAAGAGCAGGCAAAGTGAATGTGCCATCTCAGCATTTTCTAAATACTGTGTTTTGGCTTTTCATGTTGAAACAGCACCATTTTTGTTCTGAAGCAGATACAAATACAAGCAGTAATTACAAAAGAAAAAAACCCAACAACAAACCCCAAACCAACCAAACCCAAACCAAACTGAAAACAAAAGATAAATAAAAAGAAAGATAAAATGCTTGGCTCAAATCAGTGCTTTCTTTTCTGACATTCGTGGTTTGGCTGCATAGATTAAAAAAAATAAATCCAGCCAAACACCCCAACCCTCCGCTGGTTTAGCCTTGCCTGACCCTCCTGGGCAAAGTGCAGGAGGTGAGCCAGGATGGGGGTTACCAGAGGCCTGGGATGAGGTTGAGATGGGGCCAACCTGCCTTTGTTCAGAGCAGGAATAGCTGAGCCCTGTCCCTTGCGGTGGCTGGGCAGGCAGGCTTAGATGTGGGGAGGGGCTCGAGGCGAAGAGGAGCCTCCTGGGAGATTTGTGGTGCTTTCTCCCTTTCCCCACCCCCTGGCATTGGTAAAGATATGAAAAATATTAATGAAGAAATGCTGGAAGTTTCCAGTAAAGGCAGGGCAGCTGATCCACTGTGGGGCTGGATGCCACTGGCCAAAAAATGCCAAGTTACCGGGTTTTCGACTTTTCCCCACAGAAAGTTTGATGTCTCCTTTGACAAGAAATTCTGAGTAAAACCTGCCACCAGCTGTTCCAGATGGCTTGATTTTCGGGACACCTTCCTCAACGAATTTTAAATCAGAGCAAGTTTTTCCTGTCAAAAAGGTGATTTTTCTCCTACCTTCTTATCACCAATTGATTACAAACAGCAGTTGCAGTGACACAGAGAGAAAAAGAGGATTTCTCTAAGAAATGTCTCTCTTCAGTCTCTAAGATATATCTCTAAAATAGATTTTCTCTAAGAAATGTCTTTATAGCTCCAGTGAGTGCAATGCATGTATGTGCCTTATATGAGCCCAAGGGCGTATTTTTTGCTCTAGAAATAAGTCACAAACTGTTTTCTCTGTTATTCTACATCCTGTGAAACAAGATGTGGAATAAGCAGTTATGTTGTGAATTCATAGAAAGATCTAATGGGAGAAAAGGGAAAAATTTTCTCAAGGATGCTATCTAACAAAAACAGCAACTGGGTGAGCCTAGAGAGCAGCCTGGCCAAATGAATTCCAGGGATGCTTCTTCCTTGCTCCCCACTTTGTTCCAAGCAGGAAAGCGCCTGCCAGAAGCGATCTAAGCCCAAGGGTATGCAGTCAGGCACATCAGGCAGGCAGGGTCACATGCTGCTTCCCTACCTGCCTTCTCCTGTAGTTAATGTGCCTTGAGTCAGAAGGAGAAAGGACGGGACAGCAGCAAAAAAGGAGAAGGAAAAAAAGAAAGCCACTAGGGAAAATAAAACATAGGCATAATTTTGTATGCATTGCCCTCTGGTAAGCCTGAGTAGTCGGAGCTCATGTACAGTGTGACATACACCCGAGGCCAGTGTTTTTATGGATTATGTATTTTCTGCGTACTTTTGTCTCCAAATCGGTTGCCTGTCATCTGCCACTTACTTGCTTCTGAAAAAAGAATGAGAAGGGGTGGGAAGTTATGGAAAGGGGGATTTTAGTATAGGAAAGGTTTGGTATGAACCTTAGAGAGAACATGGAAAATGCGTTGCCCTCCGAAATTCAGACCAAGCTGTCCCAACAAATTTATTAAGGCAGGAACCCACCCAAGCCATTTCAATATCCTCAGTATTTTATAGAAAAGCTACACAATCATCCCCACGGTGGGGTGGGGGGAGGTGGGGGGGGGGGTGAGAAAAAGACACTTTATTAAATTTTTAGATGCTTTTTAGAGAAGTTTCATTAAAGCACTGTTAAATGCCCAAACAAGTGGGCTAATTGCGACCCCCCAAGCCCCTGCAAGGTTTCCTCGCAGGGAAGGTGCCACTGCCCCTTACCTTTCTTGGAAGCCGCCGGTTTCTGCCGGACTTGGCCGGAGACCTGGGCGAGAGAGAGGAGGCAGAGGAGGAGGCAGAGGAGGAGGCAGGCTCCCCGGAGCGCCATGCCGCTGCCGTCTGGTGCCGAGCGATCGTGGAGTGGCTTCGCTCTGCCCTCACACAGCCGCCCGGACACCGGCTGGAGTCAGGAATGACTGTCCCAGAAAGCCGTCCGCTGAGCCCGGGCCAGCGGCAGCCTCCCTGCTCCGGGGGGAGGCTCAGGCGGGTCCAGCCAAGGCTGAAAGCCTCCCAGAGGGTTTGCATTTCTTAGCACTCTGCTTGTTTTTGTTAAAAGGGAAAAAAGAAGGGAATGAATGTACTGAAAGTCTGCTAAGCTAAGCGTAAGGAAAGGCGGGGAGTATAGCTGGAACGACTTCCTACAACTTTTAGCAAAATGCCACAAGTTTGATCTTGTGTGTCAGCGATGGCAACAGCAGCACGAGGTGTGAAACAGCGTTTAGGTGGCCGAGGGAACAGAGAGGGGCCACCTGCCCCATAGCCCCTCGGAAAGGATGTCCGTGAGGGATGCTGCCAGTGCCAACAGAGGCAGAGGGGAGTGCAAGGGAGGACTGAGTGCCCCGGTCCCTACCATGGTGTGACATAGGGCCTGGCATGGAGATTCCTGGTTTAACCCCTCTGCGAGGAGCTGCTGTGAGCCCCCCAGGCTGAGTGCAGCCATGGTGGGGCAGAGGTTGGTTGTTTTTTTTCCTGTAGTAATCCTTTCTCAAAATGTAGGATGGTTCTAACACCTAAAAAAAGCAGTTCCACTGTGGCTTTGGTAGGGTTGTCCTGCCATCATTGCTTCTTCTTGAGAGATGAGACTGGTACTTCATGCCCACCTCTTCCCAGCTCTTCATGGGGTTCCCTCTGGAGGGTCCCTTGCTGCAGAAACACCCATTTCTCTGCTCACTGTGGGGATGGGAAGCAGGTGCTGGGCAGCCCTGCCGGCTGTGGGCAGAGCCATCCCATGCAAGCCAACTGCTTTCTCCCCAAAGATAGTTTCTTGTTTGCCTTTAGACAGTCACAGTTTGAGGGAAGCTTCCAACATGATAGGTTTTCACCTCTAAATTTGGGATCCCTTCCCACAAAAAGGAGTTACCTTGCACAGCAGGCCTGTGGTGCATGTGACTGTGTCTTTGCTCTTGTCCAGCTCCCAAATTTATGTTGTAGGATAAGGCTTTGGTCTGTGTCTATCTGAGGAGCAGCTTGGTGACACCCCTTCTTGGCTGTGGGACCTGCTGGGGCTGGGGGGCAGGAGGGGCTGACCTAGTGTTTGCCCATCCCTTTTCCTTGCCCTGATGGCTGGGGATGGAGTGTGGTTCCCAGTGCCAGACTTGAATTGCCAGTTCTGAGGCAATTCCAGTGTAAATCACTCTCCTCGCGGTGATTCCCATCCTCTGGAGTGAGGACAGCTATGTTTGCCATACTGTCCTCTGCCCCATGGCAATTTTGCAAGGACAGGGGTGGTCAGTGCCATGGAGCTGCCCAGCAGCAGCATTACATTTAGACCTCATAAAAATCTGAGTGGCACCGTCCAGGAGCGTGAGACTCTTTTGGTGGCAAATGCAACCCAACCACCAGACCACACAGTGGCTTCACGTGCTTTTAATTTTCCAAAATTGCTCTCAATTCTGTAAGATAAGAAACCAAACATCGGCTCCAGATGTTTTAATCCAACCAGAGGGCTGTTCATCAGGTTGCTCCTTAACCCTTTCCATTGCCCTGACCGGTAGCTGGAAGTGTTTCAGCTCTGCCTCACCCTACCAGGCAGCAGGAAGGTGAGATCTCAGCCTCTACACCAAAGGGACCATGTTTTGGCAGGTGTGGGCAAAAGCATGGATGAAGAAAACTGGGAAGATGTTTGACTTGCTACTGCAGATGTCCCACTAAGAAGAAGGCTGCTCCACCTCTACACCAAGTGAATTGCTTCTGCCTGGCACTGGACCACTTCCCTTCCTGCTCTAGTAGTACTCACACTAGGTGCACTTTGCACTTAGGAAATCTGGCACGTGCCAGGGTCCATAATCCAAAAGATCTCATGGCCGAGTCTGTCAAAGCACTGAGACACTTCATGAGGCACGGTGGTTCTGAAAATCTTCACACCCGCTGCCCTTGAGTCTGGCTGAGTACATGAGGGGTCTTCCTCAGGGCCACCTGCATAGTTAGGTGGCCAAAAAATACTTAGAAATTTGTGTCTTCACTCAGTTTGGGGAACGTTCAGGCTTCTTAGTACCTCTAGAGCTGTAACAGATGACTGGTATGAGTAGGACTTGGGATGGGGGGAACACGTTCTACAAAAAGCCATTCTCCCTGAGACCCCCTTTCAGGGTCCCAGCCTGACTTCTTGGAGCTGTTGGGCTGGGCTGTGCCAAGCAACATTGCAGACCACTGCCTGTTTTTTTGGATGGTGTGGTTGTTCAGCAGCTGCAGCATAAGCAGGTGAGCCCTTCCTGCAGGAGGAACAGTTTGAGCAAGTGGAGGAAACTCACGCAGAGAGAGGAGAGGAGGGATGGGCATTTTTTGGACAACAAAGTGGTCCGGACATCAGCCATTAACCTTAAAACTTTTCTGACAATTTAAGGCAAGATGCCACTCAGCACGATGTAAACCACTTGAGTTGTAGGACCATAAAAGATAAACAGGGTGCGTGGAAAAAGAGCTACTATTTAGTTTGGCCACCACTGTGTTACCCTGCCTCACACTTTCGCTGAATAAGGAAAACCCTGCCCTTATGTCCTACCTGAACAGAAGTTCCCTTGCAGTCCAAGCTTTTGAAGCCAAGAAGGAATGGGTTTGATTTTCACTGCCCTTTGCCACATGTACTACTCCCACTCAAATTTAAGCCAGAAAATATATATTTTGGGGATTTACTGTTCTCCTGCCTGGACTATCCCAAAATGGAATGGAGCCAAAGAGATGCCAGACACCTACATACACATACACATACACGTTCCTTTCCCTTGACACTTGAAAGCAGTTCTGGTAACTCAGCACCTCCCAGTTTTCCTTGGCTCCAGGTATGCTCGCCTGCCTTTGCTTTGATTCATGTCCTGCCAAGCTGGGAAAAAACCCAAAATGTTCCCTTTGCTGCTGTACGTGAAATGGATGGTTCTGGTGTGGAGTCTGACAGTGATCCCTAACCACGGATTTCTGTGTGTCTGGGACCCACCAGAGGGTTGCCCAGCTGAAACAAGAAGGGCAACGTGGCTTTTCATTAGCCACTGAAGAATAGGTCCACAACCAAGGGGGCCTCTCTCTGCACCAGCCAGCAGGCCCTCTGCTGGATGCTACCATCATTTTTCCTGAAGAAGAGAAAAATGAAAATAAGCAGACTCAAAACACTTGTCTCCAGCTGCAACACCTATTCACAGAGGGCTTTGCCCCAATTCTGTCCTACAGAGACTGAAAAAAAAAAATCCTTGACAGTATAAAAGCTGATAAACCCCCACAAACCCAGACAATGGGAACAAGCTGAAGTGTTGCTGCAATGAGTCCAGAATGAGGATGTGTCATAGTTTAAAATTGGCCCCCGCTGAGAGTTCGGGGGGGGGGCTCAGAGGCGATTGGGTGCCAGGGCAGTGTTCCCTGGAGAGCCGATCACTGTCCATGTTGTTCGATTCTGCTGAAAAATCATACCTACACAGCACTGGAAGCTGTTGGCAGTTTCTGTTGGTGTCTGCTGCGTGTAGGTGTAGGAGGCCAGGGGCTGGCTGGGCTCCTTCTTCCCCCCTCCGGGGGGGGGAAGAGGGGAGGCCTGCGGTCCCCCCAACTCTGCCTGGGCCGGAGTTGGAGGCAGCATTTGGAGTGTGTGCTGTGAAGGAAGAGATTCACAGCACCCAAGAGGACGTGTACATTGATAAGCTACACTACAGCAGCCTACGAACCGAGGTATGAGACTGAGAAAGAGAGATCACACAGCAGACTGAGGAGAGAGGACTCAAAGCTACCTTCTTGGACTTTGTGAGGAAGGAAGGACTTCCACAAACAGCTTAAGGTTGGTTAGGGAGTGTTCAGGGGCCCAGAACACTCCCACGAGAGAAAGACTGCGTTACCCAGCAGCCTTGAAAGGCTTCTCCTGGACTAAAGTTAAAGGGAGGCGCTTGAAGGACTGATAGTAATGTAATATATATATATATATAGTTGCCTTTAGTTTGTATAGTATTTATTTGTGTAAATAAATGTATATACTTCCCCCTTCCCCTATAGAAGCCTCTGGCCTGAAAGTTTCTCTCTGGTGATGGTAGTTCTGGTAATTGTGGGAAGGGGTGGGGGGAAGCCTGGAAATGGGATTTTGGATTTCTAATGTGGCTCAAACTGCCACAGGATGCTACAGAGAATAGCCACCTAAAAGCCTGCAATGGCTCATTCTGGACTCATTGCAGCAACACTTCAGCTTGTTCCCATTGTCTGGGTTTGTGGGGGTTTATCAGCTTTTATACTGTCAAGGATTTTTTTTTTTCAGTCTCTGTAGGACAGAATTGGGGCAAAGCCCTCTGTGAATAGGTGTTGCAGCTGGAGACAAGTGTTTTGAGTCTGCTTATTTTCATTTTTCTCTTCTTCAGGAAAAATGATGGTAGCATCCTGCCCAGGCTTCTGCTGAAGCCAGAGGCTGCAGTTCCATTTAAATGAGGGGCTATCAATGGACCTTTGTTGGCTCTTTGCGCAGATATCATGCTTTTGAGATCCCAACGATTCACACTTCTTACTAAGGGAGGTGTGGGAGGTGAGTAGAGGTAATCCTTTTTATTAGATGAACTAATAGAACTGGAAGACATCAGCAAAATACTAAAATTATGCCAAGAACACAGGGTTTTTTTACATCTGCGCAATTCTGGATTTTACTTCCCAGTAAAAGCACTTTACTCCCTGGCTTCAAGCCTGGTCTCCTGGGTAGCCCCTGTTAGCTGTAAGGTAACTGGTTTGAGATGAAAAAAGACAGCAGAAGAACCTATGCTTATGGAAACCATCCCAAGGCTGCAGGGAAGCAGTCAGAAAAGTTTACGTGGCTTTGGGAAACCCAGTAAGTAGGCTGCGATGCTGAATTTGGAAGGCTTTCAGTTAGCAAAACGGTCGCTGGAATAAGCCCACAAAAGGAAGCTGGATGCTCCTGGCAGCGATACAAACCTGTGATTTTGTGCCCAGCTAGGCAAGGAAATGGGCAGCGAGATCAGAGGCTATTTTGCTTTGCCTCCTAGGAAAAGAGCAGGTATTGCCAAGCCAAGAAATGAGGCAGCGCCACTGCACAATGGCTGGAAAGTGCAAGGGCAGACTGGATAACAGTATTCACATGGTTATAATCAAGATCAGCAATTACCAGACCTGGCCTTTCAAGGCTAAGCTACCAGTTCAGAGGCAGGCCACCATAATGCAGAATGATGCTCGCTCTTTGCCTGCAGCACCCCCTCCTCTGGGAATGCTCCTGCCTTCCCCACCAGCAGTGACAGCAGGAGAGCAAAGGGGGACACCCAAAGCATCTTTACATGCAGGACTTTGCAGCTCAGTGTCTTGGCCCATGGCTGGGGCAGCACACTGGGTTTCATACCTCTGCTCTCTTGACCAAATCTGCTCTGCAGGGGTAGGATCTGCATCTCAGCGGCACTGCAGTGACCTCAGAGAGGAACAGGAGGGAAACAGCAGTGAACAGTGAAGAACATGCTGTGAGGAAGTGGGGCTCCCAGAAGAAAATCTCTGATATTCATTAGCTGCTGCCTAAACTCATGCTGGCATCACTCCTGATCTCCAGCAGCATAAACATTGGAACAGGTTAAAATGGAAAGAGCCAAATCTATGGATCATTGTTTTTAAGGCCAATTGAGAATAAATGCAATAATAGTTCAGAAAAGGGTGGTTTTCATAAGGACAATGATGAGGAAAACCAAGGAGTCAGCACTTTGCCAAAATGTTATCCCCAACATCAACTTTAGGAAATTGGCTCTGAGCCTAAGGAGGGAACCTTCTAATCACATCCCATGACAAGCATGGCTCACATCCCTCCCCCTCATTCACCAAGGGTTACAGAACAGAAGGATCCATGCTACAGTAGATCCTCAGGCCCTAAACTGAACCCAAATGAAGAGAACTTGAACTCAAGTAGTACCAGCTGCTCAAAATTCTCCTGTTTCCAAAGGAACTGCACCAAAGGACTCATGCTTCCTTCCGTTCGGAGTATGCACCTCCTGGGGCTAGGGGTAAATCCAGCTGTCTTTGCTGCTTTGTTTTTCTGCCCATCATCCACATCCCAAAGTCCAAACAACTAAAGGGAAACTGCAGTCAAGTGTCTAAATCTAACACCAAAACTCTGGAGGAATTCCTAATTGTGTAGGTTCGCTGAGCAGGCTGCACGAAACTGCCTGTCACAGCATCAGTTCAAGTGAAGTCACCATTGAAGTCATTATTTTAGGACTGGCAAGCAGATGGCATTTCTATCAGCTTATGCTCTTACTGCACATTGTTCCCACCTTTGAGCAACTGGTTTGCTTTCATATCGCTGTGGGTGCTGAATTAGGGGTTGTAAGAGAATTTCAACTTCAGCCTCATTAATTGCTTTATTTTTTTAAGTTAGAGAAAAGTTTGCATGATCAGACAGCAGGAAGAAAGCAATCTTGAAAAGCCTCATCAGGTTAACACTGGTCTCTCTCTGGAAGGAAAGAAGAAAGGTAGGACTTAAATCATGACTTTTCAATCCGTATGTTTCCAACTGTGGAAGTACCAAAACTTACCATTTGCCAAAACAAAGAGAGAACATGTAGTGGGAGAGCTCCTCTGGAAGAGGGGGCCTGCAGGCTGGTGGCTCCAAGTACCTCCAACATCTGAGCACAACTGGCTTGGCTGTAGTCCCTGCCCTGCTGGCTGAGTGGAGAAGGGTCTCTGCACATCAGAAAGGGGTTGAGATTTCATTTCCTCTTACCCCTCTGAAGGTACAAGCTGCGGGCCTGCAGCAACTATGATGATATCAGTCTAAATGAGGGAGATCATCTCATCAACAAATGGTGTGACTTGAAAACTCAGGCATGCCTGTGCTGCTGATCTTACCCAAATCTTGAGAACGGGATAGCAACAGAGATGTTCACAGAGCTCATAAGATAACCACAGCTTTATTAAAAAGTGTTCTAACCGATGAAATTGAGGTTGAAACCATCACCAGGGAGTCATTAACAGCATGTGTGAGATTCTAATGTTGTTTTGCAGGAACAGCAAAAATGTCTTTGTTACTGGATAGCTGGAAATGCAGCTTATCCAAGGAAAAACCAAGGCACTGCAGTTTCTCTGTGGGGAGGCATGTACCAAAGTGTCCCGCTGCAGCCGAGCAGTATCACTGGGAGTCTGGGACCTCACCAAAGGAAAAGAAGCCTCTGTGAGGCACAGCTAACAGGAGCAGCCACATTTTGCCTTAGAAGGAAAAGCTGCCTCACATGGGCAGGGAGTGCAATCACACAGGAGTGCACTAGGAGACAAGGGATTGGGGAGCAGGGAGGAATAACACAGGCTGATGGCTGAAGAGATTCAGTACCATTTGCAGACCTGCTCTTGCTTTTTGCTCAAGTGCGTTAAAGGAAAGGAGGCTCTGGGGTAAGGACTGGAGCACTCAGGTCTCATCAGTCACAGCTTTGATTCTTCTGCTTTCTGGCTCTCAGTGGCTGCTGACCACAGGCAAAGTAAACCAGGGCTGGAGAACACCACACTGATGAGGAGGGCAGTGGCACTTGCTGAACTTCAAAAGAAAAGCTGGAGGCAGTCCTAGCAGAAGTGGGTAAATTTCAGTTAATTCCTATTTAGAAAGAAAATGCAGAAACACCCTAATATTTATGTCAAATCAGGGTGCCGAATCCCTCAAAGAGAGATCTGCACACTCTGCTCTCACAGAAACTGTGAGCAAGCTCTGTTTCACACCAACGTGTCTTTACAAGAGGCTGTGATGAAGCAAGCTTTCATATAAAGCCTGCCTGCACGTGGCATAGCCTCACTCCTCCCCATTGCCTCCACCTCTGCCCACAGGGCAGAACAAGCTCCCCTCTCCTCCCCAAACCACACAACCACAATTTTGAACTGTAGTTGCAAAATGCTGGCTGACAGGATTCCTGGGCTTGGTAAATCTGCCAGGTCCACTGACCTACAGGCTAGCCCTCTTCTGCTCCAAGGAGACTGTCCCTGTGAAGCAGGTAAATTCGAAGTGTGCGCTTTTTAGGCAACATGAGTAAAAGCCTAGCAGGAGCTGATAGACTCCTCACCTCTAGTACACAGCTTTCAGCCTCTCGACACTCCCAGCAGAAGCAATTAATTTCTGGGACAAACAGAGAGCTATCCCTCTCCACAGATGTTTCCTCTTAGTTCTACTGGACTCGAGTCAATGAAAACGTGGCAGTATCTGCACAGCAACACATGGAACTTTCCATCAGCCCAGACGGGAACGGGAGCATTCTCAGCTGAAGTCTCTACTAAAAATCTGCAATAGAAGGGAGGGGTTAAAGGGAACTAAGAAAACAGAAATGGGCAGCACAGCCCTTAGCATGCCTGAGAACCAGTCTCAAAGATTTCTTGGCAGATATTGTATCAACTGGAAGAGCTGTAGGACCTTTTACCCCTGTCAGAGCTTTGTTTATCCATTTGGGACATGAGCTGGTAGCAGCAAACCTCCAGGGGCAGCTGAGACCAACTAGCAGCTGTATTATACTTTTGGCTGGGCTCGCTCATTATTTATATCTCAGGGTTTGAAGCAGACCCAGTCTGAACTGGGGTCACACTCCGCCCCACTGCTTTTCCATGCCAATTGATGTGAAGCACTGAGTACAGAAAGAATAGGACCCCTTGAGAGCCCCAATGCATTCTGTGCCTGCCTACCCAGCTACAGAAGACCAGGGGGAGGACATGCACACTTAGGGGAGGTGCTGCAGATGCTTTCACCATGTTAATTTACAGTGTTGCTCTGAGGAAGTGCTTGGCACCAAATATTTTGTGATAAAGGTAGCCATTTTTGTATACACAGCTGTTCCACAGGTTCCCTTGGGCTGGCATCAAGCACAGAAGCTGAGGTACCAAGAATTTTCTTTCTAGGTATCTTGAGCACATAGGTATCCTGAATCTCAGATGGCTAAATATTTGCTATCCTTAGTAAGAAGTTGGGAGGGAATGCACATATATTCACCTCCACAGAGAGGTCAGTTAACACGCTTGAAACACAGTAATGTTTCTCCCACCACCACCTCCAGTTCTCAGAAAATTAAATTTAAAAGTAAGAGGATGTGGAGAGGGGACATCTTAAATGATGTAACTTGCAAAATGCTTGGAGATCCTTCAGCTGGAAGGCTATGAAGAAATACACTACTAATACCATGTTACAAAATTCATCCTGAGCATCACTCAGGGCAGCCTTTTGGTATCCAACCACAAATCTGTAATAAAACAGGCAACAGCTGTTCAGAGAATGGCTGAGGTTCAGGACTTGCAGTCTCATTTAGATTAACCATTTTCTGAAACATTAAACAACACATGATCAAACAAAAACTGCCTGTGATAAGTCTCAGGTACTTTAAATGTTTTTTCTCCCTTCAGTTTTCTTTCATATTTTTACAAGTAGCTTTGCATGGCAAGGAATGATCACAGCTACTGTAAAGCTGATCTAGGGTTAGTGTTTGCCTCACACAGAATAACGCTACTGAAGTGATTAAAGACTATGTATGCTGATTGTCACTTCTTGGCTCTATTACTATGTCATGGCTAGGCTTCGCGAACGAAGATTTAGGAAGGCTCTATCCACGTTGCACCCATCATAACCTACCTAACCTACTACTTAAAGTACTGAAAAAATACACACTCTTCAACTCTTCAAAATACAATCTTGGGCAAATTTTGTGGGACAGTTTCTTTTTTTTTTAACCTGCCTGCTTGTTATACTAGTGGCTACACATATCTGTACAATACACAGTAGTACTGCAGTTACCTTGAGCAATTATGTGAGTGAGCTCTAGGAAAAGGGCTGAAGAGATTTGGGGACCTTAAGCACTCCATATATTTTACCGTGATCATGATTATTAGTAATATGTTCTGTCCTGTATCTACAGCTCTCTTTCAGCAAAAGCCTTCCCCTTTTCCCCACCAAACATGTTACAGTCAAGAGAACATTCTTAATCTCATATAATAAAATTAAAACAGGAAATTCAGAAAACGTTGCTCCTGGATTATTGTAGTAACTTCTGCCATAATGTTTGTTCAAATCTATCCTTCTAATACATGCAGCTGAAATATCAACTTCTTAAAAATCAACTTCTTCCTTTGATTTCTTCCGTCTGTTGTCTCTTCCTATCCTGCCAAATAAACAGCTCTTACTCTTTGCTGGGGCAACCAATTGATGTAGGAAGGGAATCCACTGCTTTCAACACGTGGTGATACAACTTGTTAGCATGCCTTACCTGCCACCTTCTGACTTTCCCTATGAAGGATCATTACTGACAGACACTATGCTTTTCCAGCTGAATTGTCTAACTCTGAAAAATTAACTCATTTTCCCTTCTACCTTAGCCATGCCCCTTCTCCTTAGCCACTGTGAAAAGCTGTGGCTACGCTACTATTGCACCTGTTGGCAAAAGGGATAGGTAGAGCTCTAGTGAGCAAAGAAATCTTGGTTTAAAATACAAATTGGAAATGTGGAAACAGTAAAATCTAACCACATTTTAGTCAAAGAATAGTTAGGTAATTTGAAGGAAGACTTCCACCTTGTGCTACTCTTATTAGTGCTGCACAGCCTCAAGTACAGTCCAGAACACAGCATCTGGTCTACAGAAGTGGAAGGTGTGCTAACAGAATTAAGTGGAACCTACACCAGTCACTCTTGAAAATAGATTCAAGCACTTCCCAGGCAATGGCACCAATTGCTGCTGGTGCACTTCCCAGGTGTGAACAGTGACCCGTATGGAAAGCATCTCTAATTTTCTCATCTGCACTTAACTGTAGCTTTCTTTATGCTTAGGAAAATTTTAAAAGCCTCTTAGCCAGAATGAGAACTGTACTGGAAAAAAAAATAACCTTTTCTTTATACACAAACACACAAGATTGCACAATTAATTAAAAACAGTTTTGAACATTTAATGAAATCTCATCCTAGAAATCCAACTTTTGGCCGTGACGTCCCCAAACTCTCTTCTTCATCCAAAATCTTCTGAAGGGCTATGTGCAGCGACTTACCTACTCTTTGTCCTGTCTGCAATGCAAAGAAAGCAAAACAAATCTGAGACATATGCTTATTAACAGGAGACAACTCTTATGGAACACTTCCTTTTGACAAATATTTTCCCTTTGATGATTCATATACACCAGCTGGTATCACCAAAATACGCTTTTAATTAAGAAAAATAATGGTGGTGGAAGTTTCATTTTAATTTGATTAAGTTTTGGAAAAATGCACACATAAATGCAGTGCTCTCATTCATCAGAGAAGCATTCTATGATCATTAATACCAGATCTGTGCACCGCTGGATCATCCAGGAATACAAATTAAATTCACATCAGGCACAAGCACACACTCAAATTAGTCAGCACACACAGCACAAAGCAATATTCTAGCTGCCAGAGGACAAGAGACACCTGACCAGCAAAGCAGCCTACTAATAAAAAATTCAGTGAACTCTTCTGAAGGTGCTCAGAATCAGCAGAGTGAATTTAGACTAGCTCAACATTGTGTCCTATGGCCAGAGAAGCCCAAAATGCACACTGGCTGCATCACCAAATCAGTCTGTGGGCAGATCTTTCATATGATGTGCAATTCTGTACTGTCCAAGGCCCTTAAAGGGGTTAACACAATGTCTTCTTTACAAAAGGAAACTCCAGCAGTGGAAAGCCACCAGGATTAGCTCTGACACCAGCCTCTACTCTTCCCCCACACACAACTGTACTGTGGAAGCTACAGGGCAAGGAAACATTGGGCAATGCTGAAATAAAGATCTTAAGGCAACAGTGCCCATTAAAGCTTTCCCAGGGTTTCTCTAAATGATCTGAAATACAGACTCCATACGGAGATGAAGAGAGCCCACCTATCTGTAAAGAGCCAAAGGCAGATTATATTAAACTGAGTTTATTTGCTCCTGATCTATGCAATGAAGCCTAGGCCTGCCATACAGCTGACACAAAGCTCTCTTTCACCTGTTGGTGACAATTACTGGAACCATGGGAGCACAAACCTTAAAATGAGGTACATTTCTAATTGAAGATCCAGGTGAGAGAACACGGCCCATGGTACCAAAGGAAATTTGGGAAGAGGTTTGATGCAGCAGGGTAGCTGTCAATCCTAGATACTATGAGTCATGCTAAATAAAGGGGGGCACAGACAAGAACTGTCCCAACAGCTCTGTACTGGGACAAAGATCACTGCAGCAGTCTGGAGTCCCAAGGAGTGATACACTTTCTGCATTCTACTCCTCAAATATAGGACAACGTCACTCGCACCAGGTCAAAGTGAACGGGAACTGTGCAGAACTTTGGTATTGACGCAAGACTACTGCTTTCTTAATGCTGCTCGCCTCTCTAATGGATCAGATCATAAACTTAGGAAAGAAAAGCCTAATGCTGGCAGCTTCCCAAAACTTTCCCATGAAACTCCCTTACTAAGAGATATGTCCTAGAACGTCTGTTTTCTACAAGGCAGGGAAAGCTGACACTCTGACCTGCAGCCAAATCATTATGGAATGGAGGTGTCAAACATGGGTTATGCATCTTTTCCAGTGGATATTCCCAGGCCTTTTTGTTTTTCTTGGTATCCTAATGAGGCTGTTGAGTTTAGGGCAGGGCCAAACAGATAAACTCTGACTTTCCAGAAAACATATTGGGTTTTTTTTGATCAGCTTTATCTCTCACTCTTTCAAACTCTTCAACATTCAGGAGGGAAGACTTCTTCCAAAGCAAGTGAAAGATGGCACAAGTGATCAGCTTAAGCTTGTAACTTCCTGCACCAACAAGTAGGGACAAGTTCACTAATGTTCTTCGCAGAATAGGATGGTTTGAAGATTTCCCACAGTTACCTTCCATATGCATCTCTGACCAGTGTTCAGAAGTGCATTACAGAACTCCAGGCACAGCCTTTGGGGGTAGGGTATAAAATGGAACTGCAGAAGTTCATTTCCTATTTAGGGCTCAATGTAGAGTGAAATTGGTAATCAAAACAGAGGCTCCATCAAAGCCCGGTGCAGGGAATTTGCACTAAGGCCAGCTTCTTCATGAACCTGTATCTGACTTAAGCACCAACCTCTCTAGCAGCCCTAGACCCAAAACTTCAAGTTTTCTATGACGTTTAGTTAGCATCAGACACAAAATCCATCAAGGAAGACACATCAGATGCCCACAGGAAGTTAGGTTTCTTTAGGATGCCAAGTTAGAGATAACACCTCTCTATCCAGATAAGGGAGAAAGTGACATCTCTGAACACAATGAAATCCCCACTGGTACCACCAAAATTAGCACTCTATATTGACACACTCAAGTGCCATATATACTCAAGCATGTAATTCTCACTTGAAACCAACTGTTGTCAAACTTGGCTCCAACTTCCGCATTCCTCACTACAGCCGGGCTGAAATTAGTCCTGTATCTCTTGGAAACAGAGTCAGCTTGAAGTATCTAATTTTCATTCTGACTTCCAAGCTCAAAACCCATTTCTGTCTCACGCTCAAGGCCAAACTCAGGCATGAGAATTTACACTGCAGAACATTTAAGAAGAGCCTGAAGAAACGTTTAAAATGGAATTCTTATGTGGATGTGGACAATATCCAGATACTAGTATTTTTATGAAGTAAGGGCAGATCAGAAACCCAATAAAGAACCAAAGAAAAACAACAGTAAAGAGAAGAATAAGCTTATAATAAAACAAATGAGTTGTGCTAGAAGAGAACACCATGCACTAGCAAAAACACCTTCTCTACGTTTATAGGGACTTTACCATATTAGGAGTTTTGCTATTTCAGTTTTTAAGAGAAACTATAAAAGAGGGAACATGTTCTTTAAAAATACTCTCAAAGTTTATCAGCTTAAGCTTTACTGCCTTACAGCTGCAAAGTACTTGCCTGAAACATATGTGAGTATCATGCATTTCAGGCATTTAGAAGTTTTAGATAACATCCATTCACATCAGAATTTGTTTCAAAGAAACTGTGACCTTTACAAAGTCCCTTGTGCACCTAATCGAAGCTCCAAGATTTCTGCTATAAAAGTCCTTACTGCAGCTTTCCATATACCCACGTTCCAATTCATCCAGTATCATCCAAGACAGTCAACTGCTCAACACTCCTTACCTCCATCATTTCAAAAATACTCTCAGGATCCAGGCTACCTTTCCCCACTTTCTTCATAGAAGTGAGGGCACCTTTACTGGTCACGGAAATAAGCAGGCTTGCCAAAGAACAGGCTTCTTCCTGAAGGGTAGCATCCACCACATGCCTGTATCCAATCTGTAAGTTAGTGACAAAATGATGTATCAGTTCGCAGTTTTCTAAGGGCTTCCATTAAGAAGTTAACCTGTGAGTGGCAGCTTTGTTAGCTACCTCAGTCTCCCATCCTAATATCATGTGGCCTTTTTAAGTGGTCTGAGACTGACTTGATAACTTGATAGCACAGTATTTAAACAGCCTCTGACCCCAAATTGTGTACGTTACACAACAGAGGTGAGATAAATGTCACTATTTCATACTGTTTTCCTCTCTACCATCCTTTCCTCTATATGAAACTCCCTATTCCTCTTTCCCCCCTCAACTCCAAGCATGGACTTTGCTATCCTCTAGGTGAAAATTACACATCCCGAGACTCAGGTGAGCCCTCACTTCAGCAAAGGCCTCTGCTATTTATGCAACTTGCTTAAGAGAAATGCCACATAAACTTTCAGGTAACTAAGCAAATCACTAACACTTGCAATAGAACTTGCAGCATCCATAAAATCAACTGTGTTGGCTGTGTGCTATATATGGAAAACCTGTTTGAAAGGGAAGGCACAGTACTGCACCCATGAAAATGGAATTCTCTCCCCAGCAACAAATACTCATCATGTAATTCCAGGCAGATGACACAACTTTTGCACCTCACAACAATGGCCACTTGTTCTAACACACATCTGCTGCTACAGATGTTAAGCAAGGAGTAGATAAAAACCAGTAAACAATTCTTCTGAATGCAAGAAGATGCATTTTAAGAGCACATCAAGTAGAAACCTACAAGTCAGAGATGCAAAAATACCCCTTATTCAGTAGAAGTTCTTCTTAATTAGGAGGCAAAAGACAAACAAATATCTACATAGTGGACACTGACCATTTCTGTAACACAATTTTTATCTCTAGGGAAATAATAACTGGTAGGTGAAACTAATAGAAACTGAAGTTTCTAGGTAGAGGGTCAGAAATTTGTCATGCTTACTTTGCTTAGCGTGACAATACAGGGCACTTCCTCTACATTAAGTCGAATACAATCATAAGGGTCATCAGACAGCTCAATCTCTTTGGTGCCTTCTTCATCCTCCAGAACACGCACTTTGGGTATTCTGTGGAAACAAAATGTGCAAAATCATTGCCAGAACAGATAACAAATAAAGCTGCTATACAGTCATGACTCCATGAAGTGCTTTTTCTTCTAAATGAGGCGAAATGTTTAGAAAAAAAGTCCAGAATGTGATCAAAGTATTAACAACTCACTGCCCAAGACTAGGAAGAAAACATTGTAAGTTCGAAGACATTTAGGATGAGATCATCATATTTACATCATTCAAACCATTAGAATTTGAGTTGTTTTTTACACTATTATATGGGGAGAGATTCTTTTGGAATTTGCACAAATCAGTTCTGAACAATTCTTTGTACTTCTGCTGGATGTATAGGAGAGAAATTACCAAGACTGAATCCTTTCGTACAGTGGCTCTCAACTTTGCAAACAACAGTAAAGTTGACAGAATTAGAGTAATTACATTGCTTGGCAAAGCTGTGACATCAGTAGCAAATACAAGTATTTAAAGCCCTTCAGGAAAGAGCAACACTAATTAAGGGAGACTTGGGGTAAAGAGAAAGACGACATCAGTAAAATCCTTTCTCTTTAGCGAGACGGGAAGATTGGCAGGATATTCTCATTCTTTAAGAAGCCAGAAGACTCTACTGTTCTAAGGACAGATATACAAGGGATATATAAAATATAAGGACAGGGCAGGAATAAAAACCCAGGCAGAAATCCAAGAAACGCTTTCTTCTCAGTAGCGAATGACGAACTCTCTCACAAATGAACTAAGACAGGCTCCTTATCAGTGGCAAATATATTGTATTTGTGATAGACATTTAATGGGAATTTCATGGGATGACTTAAGGCACTTTTCTTAGCATAATGAATAAAATAATTTTAAACAATTTAGTAGAAGATGGTACCTCAAGCTGCCAAGAACATCAGCATCTTATATACCCTCATTTATCCAGGTGCCTGTTAGGATGGAGTACTGACTGAGAGACTTTGCATTACTGGCCAGTAAAACTCCCACACAGCTCCCATATTACTTTTTTTTTCTTTTCCACACATTTGCACTTGAAAACAAAATATTTCAAGACGTCCCCTGACAGCTAACTTCAGTAACCACAATCTGGTTTTATGTTAGTACTTTTACAGTAGCACTGCGTTTATAACTAGACTCTGGAGGTTACATTCTTTTATGCCGTCTGTAAGAAACCTCTCCTTTTGAAGGAGGAGGAGATAGGGACTGATTTAATGAACATTTCCCCCACCAATACAAAGTGACTTTTTATTGTTCCCTGGAAGAGTATGTTAGTTATTTGTGGCTAAAAGTCCTAGTGGCGAGTACTTCACAGCAGCTAACCCTGCTCCGGTGACAACAAATTCCCTACAAGCACAGTGGCCTGGACCAAGCCAAAACTAAGACTTTGAGTAAGCAGAACAATTGTGAAGTGTACTTTTTCCTGAAACAAAACTCCAAACGCTTTCCAATCCATTAGAAATGCCTCAAAGCCTATTCTCAAGTTTAAAATATTCCATTAAAAATTGACGGAATAAAGTCACAAGGTGACTGATCCTCAAGCTACGCAGGACAATGGACAACACTGGAAAACAGCCTAGTCAAGAAGTTTATGTGCCAAAGCAGTGTTAAAAAACAAAGAAAGATTTCAGGAAAATCTGTGAGATTAAGCAATTTTTAATTCCATTCTAAAATAGCCATGAAACCAGAGCAGTGTTTGGTCTGCAAGAAAAAGTTGCCAGAATTAATACCTGAAAAATGCCTGCAAGGAGCTTTTTTGGCCAAGCACGGATGAAAGAGGTGTAAATTAGAACTATTGCAAAGGCAAAAAGATCAGACACAAGAATCATAGTTGCATAAAAAAGGGGGTATATGGACACAAAAACTAGGAAAAGTGAATGTAGCACAAAGTATTTCCAGAACACTGGAGATTTCCTCTCCCAGCTTGTGAATATTTGTCTTAAGAATTAGCTGTACATGTTTACATTGCAACTTTCATTTTTCTATTTTGATTCCTGTAACTAATCAGGGCAGAAATCTGTACAGCAAGACTCAGTCAAGTAACAAACAACGCTCTTTCCTATGTGCTGCAGACCCAGATTTCACAACTGCAAAACCAGTTCCACCCTTGCAAGCAGGCATCAGTTCTGCCTCTACCATGCTGTTCAGCAAAAAACCTCGATATCGGTAAAGCTGTTGTGTTATAAACTCTTTAGTTTTTGTAACTTGCCTAGTTTCTGCAGCCTCTGTGGCAAGTAGACACATTTCACAGAACCAAGTTTAATGTCCTGACACAGTAGCTAATATTGCATATTTTGCAATATCTACTTCCATCATGAATAAATCCATCCTTAAACACCTTGGAGACAGGGGTAAGAAGTAAGTTTGATGCCTGCTATCTTTTGCACATGATCTTGATATAGTTTTTAGAACATGATGAACAATACAAACTTGCAAGGAGTAAGTGTTCCCCCTAAAACAGTCATATTGTCATTGTTCCATGCCTGAAGGGGATATAATGAGTCACGTCAGGCATTCAAAGGATTTAAATCCTGCCAGCCTTGCGTAAAATTCCTCATATCATGATTTTGGATTTACTTAGCTCTAAAGAAAAATGTGTCCATAGCTATTATAGAAATGCTTAGAGCAAGATTTTAAAGATGAAGCTGAAGTTTTCAAATGCCTATCTGAATATCTAAAATTTTGTAGCTTCCAAGAAAAACAGCAGCTTGAGCTCTCTGCTCTTTGTTTCAGAGCCGCAGTCAAGGCTGGCAAAGATCTGGAAACACTTCTAACAAAAACCTGGTTGTAAACAAAGTATGAAAAGCAAGTAAGACTTAAAGTAAGTCATGTCAAGCAAAGTTCAGAACACTTAATCTGAAGCAATTTTCAAACTGACATCTTGTCTTGTTTGGACAATAAGATTTTATGGAGAATGGGAAGCTACTCTTAAACAGCCTTGTGTCAATCCAAAGAAAACTTAGTAGCTACCAAGAGAAAGTGAGAGGAATAGTGAAGGAGGACAACAGGTTTTCACTTTGAATTTCACCTCCTGACTTTCTGATCTTTTATGAGATTAGATGTATGACTCAACTCAGCAAGACAAGGTTTTCACAGGTAAAAAATCAACAGGCTCTCCATTATGTCATACTGTACCACATTTTGATACAATACCCAACTTTAACAAGACTCTGGATGTTTTCCATAGATTACAGATTATATAAAGGACACAAGTTGTCAGAAAAATCAAAATAAAGCAGAATCATTAGAATAATTACACCCTCCATGTTGCCCATGTTCCCAAAGCAACATTTTCTTCTACTTGCTTATTTAATTCATTACTTTTTATATGATCGTCTCTGTTTATTCTGGTTAAAATAAGAAAAAAGACCCAGTTATCTTATAAATAAAGTATGTGCCTTGGATCTGCAAAACAACTTACATGGTAGTAACTGTTTTAACTATACAACTTTTGCATCCAGGCAGGAACACAGCACTTCTCCCCTTTAGAGTACTGCCAGCTCCTTTGTGAGCCATTATATTTGTGACAGTATTTCTTAATGTTATGAAAACAATCTACTGTTAAAAGTTACTGTTGAGAATTTGATTAACATGGGAAATTTCTCAGCAATATATACAAGTTCTAGTCTCAGATGGATTCTTCCCTCATCCCCTTTTAAAGTGTTTATAACCTGATATACTGCCTGTCTTCAAAAACGTATTTTCCTCTTCTTTTTGCACATACTTTTCCAGATCTAGTGCATTGATTCCCTGATAAATAAGCCAGAACTACACTAGTGGCTTTAGCAGATCTCTAATTTAATGCTGAAGAACAATTTGAAATCCACTTTTAAAACATTTATGCTTGTAAGAGTCTAACTTTCGCACCTCTTCCCACTATTGTTTCCACTATTGTTTTCATTAGCTTTTTTTCTCAAGGGTGCTACAAAACTCTGTACTCCCTTCCACCTACAGATAAAGAAGATAAAAACAATAGAAAAATACAAACGAAACTTACCATTAAAAACCACACAGAGGATTTCCATCACTCATTCTACTAGATTTTGTTTTTCCATTCTTTGAATTAAAATGCACGGGTCAAAGTTCTTTTAAAGACACATCGTTTCCCCCTCCCCACAATTTCTCACTACCGTTATTTTCTTTTTAGTTTTAAAAAGAACTCTAGATTAAAAATTAATGAGAACGAAATCAGAAGAGAAACATCAAGGCTAGTTATAAATCACTAGTCACATTGACAGAGGGCTTCTTAATCAAGAGCATCACATGTCAGTAAGTACTTCTTCAAACCCACAAGGCATCAACACAAAGTCCTCCAACTACCTGCAACAAAATCTCATGGTCAAACAATTTTTTCTGGATCGGGCTACAGAACAGAAGTTATATTGTGAACCTGACTGGGCATACAATCACAATGCAATATGACACTTGATTATTAGAAACTGAACTAAACATTAGTTCATATGACTTGCATGAAAATGGACTGCCTTGTATCTGAATGCAAGCTGCTTTGGGTATTTCTTATTTAAATAACTAAGCATTAAAAATGCTTTGCTCACAGAGAGTACTTCTCTTCCATTTCCCATGCCACTTTCACTCACATGAAATGAGATTTGTGCTTTACCTTGTGTTAAAGAGAGCTGCCTTCACTGCGATAGAGATTGCATCAAAGATGTTCCCACCACATTCCAATAACTGAGGAGGAAAAGAAGAATCTCTTTAAAAGAAAATTGGACTAGTGCCTTTAAATGAAGTCTTTATTTTATTTAAACCTACTTGAAAAGGAAGAAAATTAATAACCAGAACAGGTTTTTAAAAAACAAAGTTGTCTTTAAAGCCCATCCATGAAAAGAAACAGATAGGAAATTAAGATTTTGGCTAACTGTATTATACATGCAAAATAGAAGAGTTAATATACTCCGTAATAAAATTAATGATAAAATTTAATAATAGAACCTGAAATGAAATCACCTCTGTTCTTAATCTTCTTGTGCTAAGGCTCTGAACTAGACTATGACCAGAATTCTCTTTATAAACCCATCACATTCATTCTTTAATATTAAATCAAACCAGTCAATTTTTTATACTTTATTTCAAAGAGGAGCCTTTTTAAAATATCAACTGGACAAAACCAACTGGGAGAATTGCTTTTAAAGAAGCAATGCAAATTGTCACTGAGAACACAGTATGAAAAGGTAGTTACAGAAGTTATAGTTATGAAGGCACACTATGATTTATTCTTCTTAAGGAAAAGAGTCATCATCAGGTTTGTTCTTGTAGCTGAAAATGATCCAAGGAAATCCTGATGTCAAAGTCTAATTCAAACATCGGTGTTATCAAACAAGTGAAGAGTGTCGAGGGAGTCTAGCTTAGCTTCTTCCCATGAAGATCAGGAGAACAAAACCAAAGGGAACAGCAGCACTGCATACTAGGCAAAAAGGCAGGGCTCCCAAAACCACAATACCTTCTATAGGCTGCCAGACAACTCCACAGCTTATCGTTAGTTCTCTGACAAGCTCCGCTCTCAGCTGCCAGTACTATTCTGTGAGAGCACACACACACAAAGGCACACACACAGAGTAAGCATTTGAAACTACTTCAGCAAGAACATATGGTTGCTTCTCCATGACATCAATCTCTGCTGTATGATGAGAGCAAAACAAGTTTTGCAACACTGATTGCATTGATTGTTCTTCAAAATCTATTTAAAAATGAGATAAACTCCTGCACTGGGACTAAATCATAAATCAGATATTCTGTAAAGACAGTTTCTTTATGAAGACAGACTGAATAGTGTAAAAAGAATGACAAAAAGTTGGAATAGAAAGCTAAATACAAAGGTGATTAGATTATTTCTTCGCAAACAGCTGCTGGATACAGAGAGGTTAACCTGCCACTTTCAGTCATTATTGGATTTTACTGGATAACACAATAAGACCCACAATATCTTTGTTATTAAAACACAATAATGGGATATATCTGCACTGTTGCTAGGCTTGTGCACAGGCTGCTATTCTAAAACCTTATCTGTACTACAGTGGTGCCTACAGGCTAAGAACATAACCTGTAACAAGCATGATGCCAGAATTCCTCCACACAGAACTGAACACTTTTCTCAGCTGAAGCACCTTGTACTGAGATCTCTCCTGCTGTTTATTTATTTATTTATTTATAGAAATAAGAAAGTCTGCACAACTGCGAGTTATGGAAGCAAAGGATTCTTTAGAAAGGACTGGTTTTAATTAACTGATGTACAAATAAAAAAGTTATTGGTAAAAATAGATAAAACATTGTAGACCTTGTCTTATCCAAAGAAGCTTTTCTTTCAAAAGGACAGATTCCTAACTTCTTTTTTTATCAAACTTGGGAGGAATAGAAAACATGAAGAAATCCTGAGAGGTGCTCAGTAGTGAACTGCTAAAATTTCAACAGAACCTACTGCACCCCTTCCCCCCAACACACCATCTACTGAGAAGGGAATGATAAGAGATTGCACACTTTGATTTTCCTTGCTCAGCATGGCAGACTGCTGGGCCAAGTTATGTGGAGAAGGCTATACATATATCAAAAACACACTCAAAAATGCCTAAATCTTATTTCTGATATCAGTGGTTTAGAAAGAGAAATAAATCAAGGGAAACAGAGAGTGAGAACAAGCTTACAGTTTTGTGATACTGTTCTCCACATTCACGAGCTACTATTTGGAAGTGGAATGCCTTACATTATTAAGAAAGAATGCATCTATTTTGAAAGGTCAAGGTACATATTCTTGACCTTTGTCACATATCTCAATTTGGCCATATTTCTGCTTCTTTGTGGTGTGTATGATTGAAATTATTTTCTTTCCAGTCTGACTGTACACAATTATAGCAAGTCTCAAGTACACTGACCACTAGAAAATATTTGAGAGACGTTTTTAATCGATAAGCTGCATGACTTTGCAAAACACACCATTTTCTCTTTTGAGGTTGCATATGTCAAATATGCTCAGTCAAAGTGCACATGGGGCTAAATTGCATAGCGTGAAACTTCCAGGTTCATAAAATTTTTTGGGGGTTTTTGTCTTTCAGAACAAGACACTTCCAAATAAGTACCTTCCCATCTGACCACAAAGTATCAGTATTTTCAGGCTTACGACAGACTTAAGGCTTATTTTCCCTCTAGCTTTGCGCAACACAAACACCAACATAAACAATTTCCAGGAACTCTGAAGGAAAATACCACCCAAAACACTCTCTATGAGCATTGTTATTACAGTTAGAATCTGTCTCCCTCAAACACTGAATAATATGACTTGCACCTTATACCAGCCCAAGTATTATACTCCCACCATGTACTATTAAAGTAAGATTCTACAGGAACGATTCAGCAGGAGTAGCTTCAGCAAAATCTGTAGGTATCAAGCATCAACATTAACTATACACTAACACATGTGATACACATCTTCCATTTAGAAAAGCAAATATTACAATGACCTCAAAAGTGTGAAAATACAGACACCTGAGGTGAAAAAAGAATGAGGGTGAGGCAGGCAACAGAATAAGAGACTAATGTTAATGGTGTCTTCTTCTAAATGTACCAGCAGCTCTTCAATGGCTCACACAAAAAATCCCTGCAGAATATAACATTAAAAAGACTCATCAAGTTCAGTCGTAATTATGAACCTACAACAGATTGTTTACTGGCATTGTAAAAAAGCTAAATGTAAAATTCCTCACATAACACAGGTCCTGATGTTCATAATTCTGATACAGCCAGTAGCATGAAAATACCAAGGCTGTTTTTCTCTGTAGTTGTGGACAACCAAAAAATCTGTCCAGGAAGAATCAAACAATAACCAATTATATCTCATGCAGAAGCTATACAGAACCAATTCTGCACTAGTCACCTTTATGCAAGTCTTTGTTTATGCTGTGTTTATGCAATCTTAAGCAGTACATTGCTTAAATAAGCACAGCATTTAATATTCTGTACCTCTGCTTGTAATTACCCAGTAACTAAAGTCCCCAGTGTGATTTCTCAGAACTAACACTTCATTCTCTATTAAACTATGCCAAGCTCCAATAAGCTGGTGGCTTGGGCTGTTAAAGCCCTCAGCAGTGGCACACACTCAGTCGCTCTGTATGCAGACTGTCGCAGTATGTACCATATCTACTATAATTAGGCTAATGGTACTGCTTTTTAAACACCTAATGAACTAATTTTCACATTTATTTAGGTCTTAGTCTAAATGTTCCTGTTTAACAAAATCCTGTATTTAATTTTCCTGGCCATATAGCTTAACGTTTTGCAAATCATTTATAATACATACTAATGGATTCCTGTGAGTAAGGTCCCTCAACACATTTTCACTTCCAAATTTGACAAAGAGAAACTCAATTTTGGACCAATAAGAACTGGGAATAATGCTCAGGAGAGTCTGACTTGCAGACTTCTGTTAAAATTCCTGTGGCTGAGTGGTTTAAAAATGGCATAGTTTGGAAATCAAGCTGCTACATGCATGAGATTTGTATGCATAAAATTCAGTTTCCACTTTTTAATGGGAACAAATATTCAGTTTATCTTCTACATTCAATACATGTATACAACTTCCATCAAAAAGTGCCTAGGCCAAATGTAGCTTTTGCCAGAAAAGTTTCTATTTTACGTTACTGAATTAGTACTGATAATAGTGCAAAGAAGCAGTCAGGATGGACAGTTACCTTAGGGCTAACATACGTAATACTAATTTACATTCAACAGAACAATACATTTGCTGTTGCAACTAGCCTGGGAGAAAAGTTTAGCCTTCTTTAGTGGCAACCTCCTTGCTAGTATAAGATCACTGATTTTCATCTGAGACAGATTTGGAGTATTCAGTGTTTTATTAGCTCTGCAGTGGAGCATCAGCAACAAGAAGAGTAGGAAAAGAGCAAGCTGGACACAGTGATTAACTATTACAGGCAGATTCCCAAGAAAATGGCCATTTGTTTTGTGAAACATTATATCACATTATGAGAAGCTTTTTTTTATAAGAAAATACACAAAGTTATGTTAAGTCAGTCTCCGCCTTAAATCTTGAATCTTAGTTTTCATTTCCTGACTTACCAATACATCGACATAGAGAACCCAGCAGTGCTCTCTGGGATTAATACAAAGGGATTTCAAGTCTACACTGTTCTCGCAGCTGAATACTCTGTAGAGTGTATTTGCTATATCTGTGCCAAGTTCTTCTCCTCCCCGGCCTTCCAATTCAGGAGTAGCATTTGAAGAACTAGATAAAGAAAGAAAAAATACTTTCACTTCTGTGGCAGCCAATACCCAAAGAACATTTCTTAAATATAGAGCATTAAAAATATCTAAGGATTTATTTGTACAAGAATAAGCATCCTATTTGAAAAGAAAGTATTTCCATTTTGCATAAGAGAATGTCCTGATGCAGATAATATACCGACATTTTGTTACAAATACTGATACCAACTAAATTGCACCACTATCTTCAGTTCCCAAGTTGCAATGCTAAAGTTGGTGAATTCTTTCAGGGATTATTTCTTAAGCACTGTCATCTTCTATCACCTCAACCCTTTAGAAAAACAAAAAAGTGAGAGAAATCTGTGCTAAGTTCAGAACAGCTAACAAGACAGTCTGGTGAGAGTTGAATGTTAAATTATTAAGAGGATGGCTAAGAAGAAGATGTGATTATATGACAAGTAGAATACACATTTCTTTTAAAGTAACATGACTGCCTGTCCTTAATTGGTAATTTCTTTACTGAAGGGTACTGTATGCTATCAAGCCCCTTACAGAAAGCAGCTCATTATTCTCAGCAACTGCAGCTTATGGAGAGCTGCAACTAAAGAACATATTTTCCAGAGGAGGTCTGACAAAAGTCTTTGGTCTTCACTTCCCTGATTCCAACATATGTAACTTTATTTATGAGTAGTCATACAAGAAAGTCCTTGGGTACTGATGCCTTGTACACAGCTAAGAACAAATTTCTAACAATAAAACAGGCCTACAAAAAAACCCACCAAAAACCCCCACACCAACCCAAACCAACCAATCAAAAAAAACCCCAAACAACAAACCCCAAACCAAACAAAAAATGCCTCTCCTCCAAAGCACAATAAAATAGAGCAGAATTGTCTAGAGATGCATATACTGCAAAGTAGTGAACAAAGATTCTGAACCCAACCTCTGGTTTATAGAGAGAAGAGTATTCTCAAGCAGTGGATCCGTAGCAGCATTAAAAATGTTTTAAAATAAATCAGTCACATCTCTCCCAAATTAATTTCTCATTGCAGAATACAGGAAAGAAAGTGGCTCCATAGAAGCAGTTTCGGTATGTTCCAAATCTGTAATAGTAAAGCCTTGTATTTTCCTGGCTGGGTACTTCCCAGTGCCAATTTCTCCTGCATGTTTATATGATGATGCAAAACTTCAGCTCTTCTAACAGGCACACCAGGAGTACAAAAATACAGCAGAAAACTAAGTCTTGGAATATAATCCCTTCACCTTAAAAAAAAAAACAACTCAAGAGTCATATTATCAAGGCATGACTTAAATCATCAAGTGAACTGTATTAACAATACTGCAGAACCTATAAGCTTATATATAATTACCTACTATTACTCTTACCTACAAGAATTACCTAATTCTCCCAACTTGTTTTGCAGTTTATGAAAACTCAGAATACCAGGAAGAGCTACTGGATTTTATGGAAGTTATCTGCTGCCATTATAAATAGATAGCACTATACATGCTTAAAAAACAAGGAAAAGCATTACTGCCAATGAAGCACTGACCTAGGCTTCCAAACTACATTTGCCACACAAATAAGCAGTGCAAATATGACACACAATATTATTCATGGTCGCATTAGTATTAGACACCAATTTTATACAATAAGATCATATCTGAGTATAACTCAGTGCTGAGTCAGGTCTTCAGGTTGTATTAAACAAGCCCTTATCCATGGAAGCAGCTTTTATGCAAGTTAACTAGATCATTCTGTTTAAACCTTTCCGTTTGAAGCATAGTTATGCAAGCATTATGATCCCTATGATAAGCTGAAAAGCATGATACAAACTTCAATCTATGCCTCATTATTATTTCTAAATACAAAGTTTTATCAAATGTTGTATTTTTTGATTGTAAGTGGACACTTTCTTTGACGGTGAGTAGCAAGAACATAACACTCAATTGGAATATCATGTTTCACCACATCTTAATTCCATTATTATTTTAACACTTCTGTTCCTTGCAATCAAAGCAAAATAAAGAAGTAAGGTTAGCAGGGTACTATTATAATAACTATATGGTAGATACTGCCACCTAATGCCTACAGATTATTACAGTAATATACTGGGCAAAAATTGAAAAGGGGTTGTCTAACACACTAGAAAGAGAAAATGCAAAAAAACTTGGTTTATGGAGCACAGAAAGAACCTAGCAGTGGCACAGAATTTTTACTGCCAAACAAAATGTAACTTTCAAGACTATCAAGATCATTTTAGTGTTACATTGCCTAACAATCAAGATTCCTCCTAAAGCACAATGATGCTTCTGCCACAGATTTCTGCTCCATTTCAAAACTCTTGCTGTTAGCAGAAAAACCTTTCTCTCACAGTAGTTAAGCGCTTTACAGCTGTTGCTTAGGCCATTAATATACACTTGAACAAATATATTCCTAATTCCACAAACAGAATCAAATGCATTCAAGGAATTCAGATGTCTGCTTTTCTTTTTGTTGTTATTTCTTACAGTTTGAAAACGGTAACTCAGAACAGCCCCAAAACTCAAACGTGAGAAAAGCAGACAGCAGTCTTCAACATCAATGGCCAGGATGAATGTCCTCTCCGGTGATGATGGGCAGTAAGGATATCACAGAGGACATGGACTTGATCTGTGGTAATTAATTTCCAGGCTCACAAATCAGTGCCCAAAATATCATCCCTTCCAGAGACGCGCATTAAGGTCTATCTCAAAATGTGACCAAATGTGCTTCTCAGATTTTAGGTAAAGGACTCGGAGCAGAAAAAAGAGAAACAGAATTCTGGGGCAGAGAAATATATATCTAATCCAGCAAGTGATTATTTTAATCAGGAAAGGAAACTATGAAAGTTTCGGAAAATAAGCAATTTAAGATAGTAATCACTGCACTCTGAGTTTTTATTATTAGTTTCAACAACATAAAAGCCAAGTAGAACACAGAAGAACTTCACCGGGAGATGCAGGGTATTGGACTATGTGCAGTTACTACCACCCAGTGGCAGCCTGCAAAAGCATCAGAGTACTGACAGCAGCTCATTTCCCTTTACAGAGAACAAGCTGCCTCCACTTCACATTTTGTCTTGGATCTTTCTGGAGGCTAGAGGACACTTTTCCCTGTGCACAAGCATGTGAGAAGTTAATACACTTCTCTAAAGTTTAGGCTTTTGGTCTATTTCTAGAACTGACAAAATCCATCTTGCACAATATTGCTGCACATCTCCCATCTTATGAAGCAGAGATTAACAGTTAGAAAATACAACCTAATGTTAATCTAATGAACTGAAGTTTTTCTAACATTTATTTACATATGCAAGAAGTGTCATAGAATTGCCACATGTGCACAGCCCACTTGTTTAAGTACGAAAACATTCCTGCTGCCATTGGACTTTCTTCATATAGAAACCATCGGAAAAAAGCCTCCATGTAATATTTAGGATATTTCAAGCATGCGTTTCATAAAGCAGTCAGGCTCAGATCCCCTGTTATAGCAGGACCACATCCAAGATCATCTTCCCACCTTGTATTTTTTGAATAGTAATTGTAGACAAACTACTAATTCGCAGGTGAGTCCTTTCCTCTACAGTGCACAAGGTTTCCACAGTTAACTAGTACATCGTGAGGTACAGAGGCAGTCTTAGATAAGGCCGCATAATGTGACACACAAATGTTAAGGCAGATACAGCCAGTCAGGTTAGCAAGATTACCAGATATACGTTTACTTAGTAGCTCTCATACCTTAGCTTTACCAATGGTATATTGGTTTAATGTCCGAGTAGCAACATTTTTTGTTTATAATAAAAATAAAAAGAAATGGCACATGCAAAACAGCTAACTTGACAGTGCCAAGGCTCTAATGAGAGGTTCCCAAAACACATTACTTCATAAAGGAGAGTTTTAGGAAGTCTGCACGACATGGATACCGTAGTTGCAGACCACAGACAGTCTAGAATAACATGGAGATGTCACTATGCTATCTCAGAGCAACCCAAAAGTAAGAGTTCTCAGTTTTCTTCTAGCTTCCTTCATAATTCGAGCAGTATGAAGACTGTAAGGATAAACAATAGTGCACTTGTAGGAAAAAGCAAGGAATATGATTAAAACAAATACCATTTTAGTTAATGAAGCACAGATTCTCTGATAAATGCATAACTAAATTTTCTAATTAGCTTTTGCATCTGAAGTTCACATTGGAGATTTTCCTTTTTTTAAACAAACGAATTTGAACAAAACACACTTCAACTTTTTCCACTGCTTTATCAGACAAAGCAAGCAAACCTTTAAGTACAGTTAAAGAACAGTCAATTCTTTTCTTCTGGAATACTTACTTTTTTTGAAAGAGATTTTCTCTGTCATTGTAAAAACAACAGCTGACACTGTAGTCATGAAGTCATGTTAAATGCATGTGTCATTGGACCATTACTCTTTCCCAGCTGCAGTGATGTTATGCAGTTTGGGATTGCTTTCATTCTTTAAATCCTATTGATTTGCTTATTTTGGGTCTGCAAAATCAGCATAAAGTTTCTGAACAATCACTGCTATAGGAACAGTAAAATAACTTTTTTCTCTTACTCAGACTCTTACCGGAGGTTAGTGGAATGAAGGTATAAACTTCTGAAGAATGGCAAGATCTGATTAGTCATTTATTCCAAATATTAGATCTATTTCATTCTTTTCTGATATACTAACCAGTCAACAAAGAATTCCAGGTATCCTTCGTCGGGTTTCTCTAACTTTGGTGTCCCCATTTCAGCTTTTATGCCTACCAAGACATCAGTGTCTCCCTGTTAAAACAAAAACACATCACACAACTGAAATTATAGTTACAGAACTACTTGTTTAATTTAAATGTCTATAGTAAGCTGACATTTCTACCTTTCAGTAATCTGATTGTTCTATCAGAGTGAACTTAAAATAACATTAAATTTTTAAAGAAGGAAAGGCTTTAGAAGGACAATATTAAGCTTAAGAAGATTCTTCAAATAATTGCCATACGTATTAGCTTTCTCTAGGTTAAAAAGACACTCAATATCCAAGACTACTTCTCTCATTTTGGTTCTGGAAACATCTCTTACTGCAGAACCACTATAGTACTGCACATGCCAAAAGTAATTTCACTTCACTCTGAAGTAGCAGAATAATTTTTTCCCAGGAATTAGGCACAACAGTGATTGCAGTTTTCGAGATTAAATGTTAGATCAACTCAAACTAAAGGCTGTCCAGGTACTTCATGGTAAATCCAGCCCTGCTTAATTTTTTTTCATCATCGTGATAACAGTTAAGCCAGTCAAAAAGCATTATATATGCTGTAATTATTTCCTTAACCATAGTTTCAGTTACTGCTATGCACACACACAAATAACCTCAGCTTATCTTAAAACCAGTCATATAAACTAGAAACTTCACTAGCGAGGCACACGGTCCCTAAGAAATTTACCTACCAGCTTTACTCTTGCAGATCCGCTTGTGTTTGATACAACATCTGTTTCTACTTCTGCACATCTGTAGTCTTCACAGCCACGACCATCCACACGAAGATCCTCCTAAGTATGACATCAATATATTGTGCTTAAGGGAATCAGTAGTGAAAACTTTTTAAAAAATAATATATATATATATATATATGTGACTTGAAACTTTCCTTCTCCTATACCAAACACAGCAGTAAAAACAACATGAAAGCATCAGCTCATGGTTTCATCGCGGGCTTTTACTTAAGAGTACATCAGGCCTTTCCTGGGATGCGCAAGTTCTGTACTTTTATAGCAGTAATTAGGACCAGGCAGGAAAAAATAACCCACTGGCCTTCCAAATGTTTTCATCTGTATTTCAAAAACGGGTATTGTGCATCCTCTGATACTTATACACTCGCCTCCACAGAAATAGGTTGTTTTTCAGCAAAATTCGGTAAAAATACAGTCCTTGTATCACCGGCGTTTCTCCCCCCACATCCTTCACTCTTCCTCCTTGGTCCACTCACGTTCCTTTGCTACGTGGCAGGCTAAAACTCTATGAAACGGCAAAAACTTGAGAAAGAGCCAGGGAAGATGTGGAAAGAGCAAAGAAAGAGAGGTAAAGGGGGACAGAAGTGAAAGAAAACAAATCCACGTTCTGCTCTCAGCCAGCTTCCCGGTCTGATGCTCAGCGTGCTCCGATGATTACTACCCCAGAGATTCGCGTCCAGACACCACGATGGAAGGCTCCCTGCCTCCCTCCTCCCCAGCCTACCCTGTAACTCGCCCCCTGCCGCTCCGGTACCTGCACGCCGTGCACGATGTAGAGCTTCTCCGCCTCGCTCAGCACCACGGACGCCATTCCTGCCGCCGCCTCCGGACCGCAGCTGCGCAGTGCCCCTCCTGCCTCCCTGCTTCCCTTCCTTCCTTCCGCCCGTCCGCGCCGGGAAAGCTGCCGGCTGTCCACAGCTGCTGTCCCGCTCGCCCGCCCAGCCGGCACCGGCACCGGCAGCGGCACCGGCACCGGCAGCGGCACCGGCACCTCACATTGGGTTGGAAGGGACCTCTGGAGATCACCCAGTCCAACCCCCGTGCCAAGGCAGGGTCACCTCGAGCAGGTGACACGGGAACGCGTCCAGGTGGGTTTGGAATGTCTCCGCGACCTCCCTGGTCAGCCTGTTCCAGTGCTCTGCCACTCTCAATGGAAAGAAGTTCTTCCTCATGTTGATGTGAAACTTGTGTTTTAGTTTATGGCCATTGCTCCTCGTCCCCTCCAAGAAAGCGAACTCTCATGTTAAAGCAAACAGGCAGCGCCTACCCGCTGCCCTCTGCCAAAAGCTCCTGAAGGAAGCTGTGGAAATGCCCAAGTGCTCGGGAAGGTATAGCGTACTGATAAATTTCGCATTTCCTCGTTTTCCTTGTAGAGTTTTCACCTCGGAAGGGTCCGAGCAAGGTGTGGTGTGCAGGGAACGTTGGTGCAGGAGCAGGGAAGAAACCAGATGCTCTCGGTTAGGAGAGTGCTGTTGGTCCTGTGCCAGATATCCCTGGGAAAGTGGTGTGGGAAATATAATTAAAAACTCACATTATACATTAAAACAGTAATGAAGGGTTGGGATTTTTTGGACAGCCTTAATTGAAAGCTTCATAACAGTCATTAGTGTAAGTTTTACACCTTTTTGCACAGCTCCTGTGTATAATTTTGAGAGTATTTTACAGGTTGCTATGTGACTTCATGCTCATGTTTGCTTGGATGAGAATGACCCATGGCTCCCAAGTACGACACATCACACTGCCACAGTCTATCCAGCTCTCCACAACTCCCTGTTCAATCAAGTGTACAGAGCATTCCTGGCTGTGCCTACTTGAGCAGGCGGAATGATGCAGTAGAAACAAACCTCAAGAGCGAGGGATGTTTTGGAGATTTTAGCTTGGGTTGGCTCTGATCAGGTCCCATTGGCAGGCTGCATATCTGTTAACAGTCAGAGCAGAGCAGATGCATTTCTGGGGCGCTTCCCATGGCTTACATGCATCCAAAAGGAGTCGAGTTTCTGCACACTAGGGTTGTTGCATGGGGATTGCTTACTGTTTCGCAGTGGGGAGAGACAGTGGTGGAGCTTGGCAGAGCTGGGAGCTGAGGCTTGGGTAGCTTGTCCTCCCTGCTCACCCTGGGGATGTGAGCAGGGCCAGACCCCCTTCCTGGGCCAGGGGAGTGCCAGACAAAGGCAGTGCCCATGCGTGAAAGGGACCTGGTTTGTATGTTCTCTCTAAACAGCATCTGCCAGTGCTGCTGTCCAGCACAGATGGACCCTGTGGTTGACCCATAGTGTGATACTTGTGGCCTCACATTCCTCAGTGTGAAACAAACAAGAAGTAAGATGTTAGAAATTCCTTGTAAATGTGAATTCCTGATCTGAAACGCACTGTTAATGCAGACACACGCAATGATTTCCACTGAGAGCACAGGGAGATGACATTCTGACTCCTAGTTCTACCTATCTCATGGCTTAGCCCACAGCCACTCACAGTCCTAACTGCAAGGAAAAAATTACTTGTTAGTTTTTTTCCCCCTCTGCCATCCCAGCCTGGACTCTACCTAATGTTAGTCAAATTCTTGCATAATCCAGAGACTCAGCTAGCAAATCTTGTTCACATGCAGACAGCATTTTTCCAAAGGCTGGAAGAGCCCAGGTTTGGCTCGTTTGTTAGGGAGGGTAGAAGGCATCCTCTTGCTCTAAAGAGCATTTATTTCTGAGAGCATTCAAATTCCAACGCAAGGCTGTAGTGAAGGCTACCAGACAAAAAAGAATGCCACTAGTTTCTTGGTTTTGGTTTGTTGTTTGTTTTTTTTTTTTTAACAAAGGCAAAGCAATGTCTTTTCCTCTAGCCTCATAGTAAATGAATGACACGAGTTGGCTAAAATAAAAGCCAGCCTGAGGGAACCCCCTGGAATGTGAAGATTCACACTATGTGATTAATGCCTGGTGAGGCCACAAATACTGAAAGCAACCACTGAACGTGGAGAGTGTCAAGCAAACTCAACCCCTGCTCACGCTCCAAACATGACACCTGCAGCAGCATGCTCTGTCACAGAATCATAGAATGGGTAAGGTTGGAAGGGACCACTGTGCATCATCTGGTTCAACCTTCCTGCTTAAGCAAGGAACACATGGCACAGGATGGTTCTTGAATATCTCCAGTGAGGGAGATCAACAACCTCTCTGACAACCTGTTCCAGTGCACAATCACTCCCAAGTAAAGAAGTTTTTCCTCATACTCCGGGGCAACTTCCTGTGCATCAGTTTCTGCCCATTGTCTCTCATCCTATTGCTTGGTACTACCAAGAAGAGCCTGGCTCCATCTTCTTGGCATCCTTCCTTTAGGTATTAACACAAATTAATGAGGTCCCCTCTCAGTTGTCTCAGCCAGCAGTGTGCCCAGGTGCCCAAGAAGGCCAATGGCATCCTGGCCTGTATCAGGAACAGTGTGGCCGACAGGTTCAGGGAAGTGATTCTGCCCCTGTACTCAGCCCTGGTGGGGCCACACGTCGAGTACTGTGTCCAGTTCTGGGCCCCTCAGTTCAGGAAGGATATTGAGGTGCTGGAGCAGGTCCAGAGAAGAGCAACGATGCTGGTGAAGGGACTCAAGCACAAGTCCTATGAGGAGAGGCTGAGGGAGCTGGGGTTGTTTAGTCTGGAAAAGAGGAGGCTCGGGGGAGACCTTGTCACTCTCTACAACTACCTGAGAGGAGGTTGTAGCTGGGTGGGGGTTGGTCTCTTCTCCCAGGCGGCTGTCAGTAAGACAAGAGGGCATGGTCTTAAGCTTTGCCAGGGGAGGTTTAGGTTGGATATTAGGAAGAAATTCTTTACAGAGAGGGTAATCAGGCACTGGAATGGGCTGCCCAGGGAAGTGGTGGATTCTCAGTCCCTGGAGGTTTTTAAGATGAGACTGGATGCGGCACTTAGTGCCATGGTCTAGTAACCATGGTGGTAGTGGATCAAGGGTTGGACTTAATGATCTCAGAGGTCCTTTCCAACCCGGCTGATTCTTTGATTCTGTGATTCTTCTTGAGGCCAAACAGGCTCAATTCCCTCAGCCTTTCCTCAGAGAGATGGTCCAGTCCCCCAGTCATCCTCACTGCCTTCCACTGCACTCGCTCCTTCTTGGGTGCTGAAGGATTTTGGATACCTGCAAGCCGAAATCACCCTGAACCTGGTTGGGGGCTCAGCGGTGCGCAGCGAGGCAGAACCATCTGGTCCCATGTAAAAACAAAAAAGTGGTAGGGCTTTTTCCCTCCCAAAACCCTCACGCCGGAGACGCGCCCATGGCACAAGCGCGCCCCAGCGGCGCCCGGTGCCGGTGCCCGCCCGTGGGTCGGCCAGGGCAGAGCAGGGCAGGGTGTGCTCTGCCTCCCGCCGCCGCCGTTCACTTCCTGGTTCCTCCCCGCGGCCGCTCCACCTCCTTCCTCGCCGAGCCCGCGTAGGGGCGGCGGAAGGGGGGGTGCCGTTCCGTGCCGTGCCGCTGCCGGCGCGGGGGCGGCGGCGGGGCGCGCCGGACCCGCGGCGGCGGCCAGTGGGGTAGGTGGGTGCGACTGACAGCGCGGGGCGGGGGGGGCGCCGGGCAGGTGGGTGCGCCGGCGGAGTGGGGCGGGAGTGGGAGGCGGGAGCGGGAGGCGGGAGCGAGAGCCGGGGACGGGAGCGGGCCGCCGGAGCTGAGCGGCGCGGCCATCCCGCCGCCGCCTGCGCCGCGCCACCAGCTGCCCCCTGGCCCTGCCGCTGTCCCCGCTGTCCGCGCAGCCCCCCGGCCGTGCGCGAACCGCAGGATGGCCCCGCCGCCCGGGGGCCGAGCGGTGCCCGCATCCCTCCGCGGGGCCCCCGGCAAGGGCTGGCGGCGGGTCGTGTCCAGCGGCGGCGTCTCCGGGAGCTTCTGGCATCGGTCGGGAAACGGGAGGTGGGCTCCCGCTCTCCCCTCGCCGCCGTCCAGCACTGGGCTTTAAATACTGCGAGGCTAAACACGTTAAATAATACCGGGCTAAATACGTGGTTTAGGTCTGCTCCGCGGCCTTTCGGAGCAGCGTTGAGTCCCCTCGGCAGGAAATTTAAACTCGAAGTCTCCAGCGTTTTCGTCGGGGTCCTGTGACTTGTTAATGGATTGCAGTGGTGCAACGGGGTCCTGTAATCTGTGCGTGCGTTTCAGCGATGGGACGTGTCCAGCGAACAGCTGGACAGCGAGCGGAGCTCACCCTCTCGCTTTCGAGGTGGCCGCGGTCACCCGGCGTGTGACTGCACCTGTCCGATGGGACCATCGGCCGGGTGTGACCTCGGCATCGGGAGCAATCTGTGTTGAAACCATGGCGCTGCACTGTTGAGGGTTTAGTTGAAGTGGATGGTGAGCTACATGGCAATAGGAAGCGATCCGGACTTGTTTAGAACAGCAGCTTCTAAGTATTACTGGAGTAGTTCTGTAAAGTAATTCTTAAGAAGCAAGAGTTCATGATGGATCATTAGAAAACAGTCTTCAAGAAAACAGGCCTTGGGGAGGAGGAGGCAGCAATCTGGTCCTTGGTAGGCTCTCCCGCTGCCCGTGTGCCACTGAGGGACACAGGATGGACACAAAACTTGTTTAGGTTTCTTTCCTTTGATCCTAATTTAGAAAAGATAAATTGTGTTTTTCAGTGTGCAAAAGAGTGATTTTTTGCCGGATTCTTGACACGGCAGAGGTGTGCAATGTCAGATGTGTAAGGAAGGAACCCAAATTCGGATGGTTGTTCTGATACAGTGGATTGTTCTGATACTGACCGGCGGGTTGCAATGAGTGACTGCATTGGGTATCTGGTGGTGTAGATAGCAAGGCGTTAGTGAGTACCATGTTTTTCTTTGCTTAATGAAAGCAACGAATAAGTCTTTTGTGCAGTGTCACAGGCATTTTGGTGATAAGAGTCATCATAAGAGGAGCCATGCCATTCATACGTCGTTAAAGATGCAGCCCCCCTGTGCAATAAAGAGCCGGTCCTTCAAACACTATGACTCTGTCAGCGTAGCTCTTGGTGCTGTCTCACTGATGCAATAGTGTTTGTCATACCGGCGGGAGCTGCTGGTGGTAGGAAGTTGTGTCTGACTGAACGCTCATTGAGATTTAGAAGGTGCGACCCAGAAGCTAAGTGCAGTTGTAGGTTTATAAAAGGGCAAATATAAGGTCTGCCTAAAGGCCAAAATATTTGTTGCAACATTTAATACCTACTGAGTATTTTTGTGTGTGTTTCTGCTTCCTTTTAATTTTCATTTTAGGTGGTGTAATTACAGACAAGGGTGTGTATTTCAGTTTGAAATTGCTTGTTTGGTAGTAGACAAAAATACACAAATGTAATTTAACTATCGGAAATAGGTTGCAAGAAGATGAATGCTTAATTCCTCAGCAGATGCATGTCTGCTGTGCCCAAGTACTTATGTGTCTTTTCTGGGCAGCTCCCCTTGTGTTAGCAAAGAAGAATTTATAGTCTTCAGCAGTATGTGTGTATCCTGGGCAATGGTAACTCAGCTTTGGTGAATCTTTTTCATATCTAATATGAATTTACTTTTCTTGATGGGTAGATTGCTGTGCATCTCCCAGCAGAACAGAAGCTAGCAGTGTCTCATAGTCACTGCAGTTTAAACACATGTGTTGCATTTTTTCAGGAAAACTTGCTCATGGAGCAATGAAGCTTGATTGTGCAGACATTTCCCATATATCTGTAACGGGGCATCTCTCCTGTAGAAGAGACTAGATTGGCTCCCACAGTGGTGTCAGTCTGAAAATGGCTTGGCTGTAGCTCAGCCAGTCTCTGCAGATGTTAGTTGGCTGAGCTTACACTTTTCTCTGGTCCCTCTGCAGTGTAGACATGACCTTTTTCTTAGGGTGATATTCTGGAATACAATTGTTCTGCCTTCCTGACAGAAGACAGCAGGTAACATAAAATATGACACGATAGAATAGCGTTTTGTCAGGTTTTATTTTCTCTGTCCTGTGCTTAGCTGGTTGAAGAAAACTAAATGTGAATGATTGCACCTGGAACATCATATTTGACTTGTCCATGTAACTAATCTGAAGCTTAAGGTTGTATTAGAGAAAAGGAGAAGTTAAAGCTTTCCTAATTAGAGCTGCATGTTTGGGTTGTGCAGATAATACGAAAAAAAGATAGCCCTTAACTTGACTGGAACTGCAGTGCAGCAAGTCTGCCAGTAACACTTTACACGTTGTCCTTTTGAGAGGGAGTCCAAAAGAGCGAGCCAGCTTGTCTCTGCAGGCTGTGGGTGCCAAAGACCTCCCCACACAGCAGCAATTTCCTGCTAGTGGGTGCAAGGTGTTACAAACAAGGTGCAGCCAGGTACTCTGGCTCTTACTGCATAGGAGCACTGGCGTGTTAACTCCTGTCGCTTGCTCCTGGCTGTGCCCCCAGGGTGGGGGGGTACTCAGGAGTGCTTTTTGGGGCTGAAATGACAGATTTATCTAGGCTTGTAGCCTCATATCTCTTTGCCCCACCAGGTTACAGGGTGACCATATAGAACTGGTGCTGCTGTGGGAGAAGGAGTGCAAGAAAAGGGGAAAAAACATAGCAGAGGATAGGGATGGGAAGGTATGGAAATAAGAGGGAAGGCTACAGCAGCAGAGTTCAGCTAGAAAAATGTTGGGAAATGCTGTTCCAGGAGCAAGTAAAACAGCAACTAAAACAAGGATGTGGAAAACTCACTGTTAATACCCGTGGACAACAGAGGAATGTTGAATGAGAGGAAAGGAAGGGCCCTTGTTGATGTTTTTGCTGCTGGGCTGGTGTTTGTGAAGTTCAGCTGTGAGTTTTGCAATAACGCAGAACTGACAGGGGTGACCAATCTTAAACGTGGTGCAGCATGCAGAAGTTAAAGCAAATGGGCTCAAGCTGAAACAGTATGAGTGAATAAAGGTAGGGTAAAGTACTATGCTATTTAAAAAAAAAAAAAAAGACATATACAGGCCCAGTGGAAAGGCAGTAGTACCAAAACATAGATACAGAGAGAGCTATAGCAGGTGATAAAGAAAGATAGTAATGTGATATACATCTTTGTGTTCTTGCAATGACTACTTGAATTACTGATGTCCAATACAGAATAGAATAGATAAGTAGCATATTATATATTGTAGTTGGTCTGGGCTTGAACTCTCAGTATTTAAAAGGATAACAAAATTAAGGTTTAGATATAAAAATTGTATGTTTTATGGAGGCAGGGATCCCTTCTGCTTGCTAATGCAACCGTGAGCAAAACTTAGTTTGCCAACTCAGATGTCCTTTGCTACATAAAAAGCTTTAACATACAGCAACTTTGAACCTGCAGGTTTTTCCAGTTCTCTGAAGTAGCAGCATAGGCTTCTTCTAGTCATGATTTTACCTTCAGACCTTTGCAGGATAGAAGTGGTAATTTTTTCGGTCGCTGTGTTATTTTTGTGCTATTTTAACGTGTGCTCTGTGTATTTTTTGTATTTCGTTTCGGTATCTGCTTAGGTGTAGTATTTAGATTTAAAATCTAAATGCCTTACAGCCTTCATACCTGTGTCTTACCTACTCCTGTGTGGTAAGGAAGAAGAACAAACTGCAAGTGGGGGCATAAAATCAGGGAGAGTGAGTGACATGCTTGGGAAAGGGTGACTATAGCAGCAGCAGATGAGAGCCAGATGCAGCATTAGACCATCTTGAGTGAAAACGTATGTCTGATAGTTATAAGTGCTCTTTCTGACTTGAAAGATAGTATTTAGAATATTTTTTTGGACCAGAGTGATTCTACCAGCTTCTTATTATGATTAAAACTTTAAAGCTCCAACTCTTCTGCTTTGGAAGATATATTCCTTTTGCCATGAAAGTTGTGTAGCTTTTAAAATAGATGCTAAAAATAATACTAGTTGTATAGATAAACCTTCCCCTTTAATTTTTGTCTTTTGTTAAAAAAAAAAAAATTGATACAGGACAAATCGTAAATTTAAATTTCCTTAATCCAGGGGTTTGCTGTTTTAAGTCTTGAATCATCATCAAAATTGCAAAGCTGTCTAGAAGACCAGGGCAGCTTCTTGTGTTTTGTCTCTCATGAGGCTGTGTATTCAGGATAACTGCAATGCTGTGGGAAAGCATGACATCCCCATCTGTTGTTTTCTGTTTCCTAGTGCAGTCCCTCCTGCAAGATTGCTCTTTCCTTCTGATGCTTAACTCCAGATAGGTGACAATGCAACAAAGATGGTTTGTATGTTCAGGATTAATATTTCTCTTTTGACATAGGTTAGGTAGCTTGTGTGTATTTAGTCTTACTGGGAAACTGTAAGATTGAAGTGACAGAATTTCTCTGTTCCCCTTGCAGCTCTGATAGGGAAAAAGTTACATTATTTTGTAATGGTTCATACTTAATGACAGTATTATAAAGTACCTTCTGTCTCTGATCAAAGCCTTATTGAGATCACTAACTTTGTGATCAGACCAAGTGAGATTCAAGTCTGACCTCAGTCTCTGTTGCCCTTGTGATTTGTGTCCTGTTCCTAGATATTGCTCCAATTTTGTCACTCATCTATAGTGGTCCAGTGTTTTTGTACCTTGGACAGTAACTACATTGTCTTTGCTCTCCTTTGCTCAAGCTGGCAGCTGACAGGCCTTTTAGGTGGGGGTGCAATCACTTGCCAGATAACTCAGACTCTTAGGTCAGTCTTAATTGCATTATCATTTATTTATACAATACATATCTATTAGTTAAACAGAAAGGATGCAGACATTAACCAGGAAGTTGTTACTGTCTGCCCTGAGAGACTGCATACCACAACCATCAGGACAGGGAAACCCCTATGTTTGTAATTGAGAAAACATGGCCTTATTTTCCTTACAGTTCTAATGCAATTCCTCTGACACTGTTCAAATTGCTTCTTGTCTGGACTGACATAAATTAGGACAGGACTGAGGGGTT